CTTTAGCGTTTTGTCTAACTTCAGTTGCTGCTTTTGGCTTTCTGACAAAATTCTGCTAATCAGTTGCTGTCTTTCTAGTTTGTGCGTTTCTGTTTGTGCAAATCTTGCCACCTTTGCTCTGCCTCTGTTATTACCTTCAGTTATAGAAAAGGCTTTGAGGAAAAGAATTTATATAGATAGAAAGTAACTGCAAGGTAAGTTTTGTGCAGTATACAGAACAATTTTTTTCATGTTGCTCATTTAAATTATGAGAATAGTAGGTATCAAATAAGCATAACGTGTGAATCTGCAGAAAATCATTCAGCTGAAGTAGTATGGCTCTAGACATGCTGCAGTGTTTTAGCAAAAACTAAAATTAGGGAAAAAAAGAAAAAGGGTCCAGTCCTTTTGAAATCCAGAGTAGAAAGGTTCATTGATAGACATGTGCGTTAGGGTAGCAGATACACACATCAGAGTTACTGCATCAACGTGAGGGATAGGGAGGAGCTGCACTCTTCGTGTTCCCAGGAGTAGGTAAAGCTGCTTTGATCAAGCCTTGAACTAAAACTTTTCCTGACTGTTCCTGTTCAGCAGTGCGTAGATTTTTGAACAACAGTCTTCCCAAGTGGCTGCTTATTGCCATAAGGTGGAAAGTAACTCATCATTCTCTAGAATTTGTGCATTATTTCAGTCTTACAGGGATTTGGTAGTAATCAATTTACTGTCAGCCAATAATGAATTTTGCTAACAAACTTTGTAATATGGTCTCCTACTATTTGGCGAGACTCTACGTCGTTTACATAGGCACATAGTTTCAGCTTTTTTTTTTTTTCAGGAGACAAAGATAAAATTATTGCACCAGAATCGCTACAAAAGTGGCGAAAACACCACATGCGTTCCTTGCAGGGTGATGAAAGCTTATATGGTGATGCTGGCTGCAGTGTCTTATCAGAAGAGATCAGAAACAGAGTGAAACTTTCAGCTGTGCTCAGTAATGCTAGTAAATTCATTGCTGATAGAATGGGACAGGAAACTTCTTTTCAAGTCCAATGCAAACACTAGGGATTTCAAATTAAATTTGTCTATTTATTAGAGGGTTGAACATGAGTTGTTTTTTAACTAGTTCAAGTCAATTGACTTTTGTTGTTTATGTAATTTAAAAACACATTATTTAAATCAAATTTAAAACCATAATTGGATTTATTTTTTATTTAAAAATTGTTTAAACTAGAAGACATTCTTTGAAATGGAGAAAAACCATCTAAAAATCAAAATTGTTGGAAGCAGAAATGCTGAAAGTTCTGTTCAGTATTGACAAATGGATTTCAGGAGACAAAAACTGTACTTAAAAACTGCCTGCCCATTTTGGTATGGATAGAAGGAGAACTCTGGCAGGTCTTTTCCAGTGCAGTGAACTGTGGGAGGGTGTCTCAACATGGTTTGTTGCCTTAAAACGTGTAATAAACTGTCATATTGCAGTAACTAGGCTCTACAGCACTGTTCTGCTATAATTTAAGATTTTTTTAGCAAAGTGCAGAGTTAAGTAATGATATATTTGTGTGTATATATAAAGATATAGAAACTTTTATTGGACAGATGCTCTCACCTTATATGTACACCTTATCTGTAAAGGGGATCACAGTTCACGGTTGATGTTATCTCCAGTTGTTGCTGGCAGGATAGGTGAGGTTGTACACAGCCTTGAAGATGAATTCAAGGTAATTTAGGATAACAGTTACCTATCTTGAAAAAGATTTTTCTGTTCTATGGCATTTCTCTTCCTACGTGTTTCTTTTAAATGGTAGATCTTGATAATTCGTTTGGAATAGATAGCAATCAATAGACTGGCTCCATATGAATGCCTTTTCCCCTAAATAGCTTAAAGAATTGTTTTCTGCAAAAGACCTCACTTCTTGGTCAAGCAACAGATACTCATTTCTGCACCTAGGAGTTTGTGCTGCGCTTTCTGCCTTACTGTCTCCTCCTTCAGCGTTCGACAGGGTGCGTCCGGGGCCAGCCTGGCTGTGCTCCCAAGCACAGATGCTGTCCGACACCCCACCAAATCCAGCGTCGCCTTTGTAGACGTCTGTGTTCTGATGCAAGCAGTCATGCTCTGCCTGGTCCCCGAATGCCTTTCAGATCTCTTGAACTGTCTGCTTGCTTAAGACGCGCAGCATTATTCCAAGATTTGCAATAGTCCCCATTCTATTTAGAAGAGAGAAAATGTCAGTTAAAGAGGAAAGTTGAATAGCTAATGCATTTGAGAAATGCAGTCACTGTTGAAACAGTAAAAAAGGCAGAAAGAGAATTTGCCAGAAAGTGTGCAATTTTTAATATGAAATCCATAATTATCTTATCAGTATTCGCTTAAAGACAGAGTTGGCACAGTATTAAAATGTCACACAGTTTGAAGAGCGGCAGAATCCCATAGCTGCTTGTGTTACAGGCTGTATACGACAGGAAACTATAAAACTATATTCACACCATACTAAAATGTTTGGAAACCTCCTGCAGCAGCATAGATAAAATGTTTAAATAAGATGTTACATTTAGATGTCATCAAATAGAAAAGCAGGGAACAGTACAGCAAAACCTTGATATGTAAGTAATCAAATCTTTAACTTTCCTGCTAGAAATGCTAACATTTAGTAGATTTTTTTAATTACAAATATGAAATAGATGCCAGTCTGAGTGCCACACCAAAATATGAATTATAAAACCAGAGAGTTGTTAAAGCTTCAGATGTTCTTAAGGAATTATCCACTTCCTCTGTGAGAACTAATATATAACACAGACGTATGCATAAAATAGGAAAATATTTCTTCATGCAAATAGTATAGTCATCTTAATTCATAATTTAAGAATGCCTATTAAGAGGAGGAGGTGATGGCTGTATACATTGGGGGATATCCTGTATAACTGTATGCTCAACTTTATTTCAGTCTGTGACTGAAATACATGAAATGCTAATTTTTACATAGGTAGTTGTGGTTTTAAATTTATAGACTATGTACAATAGTAAGTGGACATACTAATTGGTAATTCCGTATCCGTTTTGAGTAAAAGAGCAAAAACCATGATACTCTGCTTGAATGCACTTTCAGTAGTGTTAGTTAAACTGCAGAGGGAGATAATATGGAAATAAAACTCATAAATCCCACTGTGTAGAAGAGGGATAAGATACTCATTTATTTCTTCCACCAAGTCAATTAATTCTTGGTAACAGCACAGTAATTATTAAAAAAAGCGCCATTATTATAAGTCTAAAATGAGAGTAATTGCAGAGGTTTGATATAAAGCTAAGAAACGAGTTGTTAATGTGAAACGAAGAGTTTAAATACAGAATTATGATATACTTGGCTTTCTGTAGTGTAGCTGTCAGGCTCGGGCAGTTCGCTGGTCAATAGTGACATTCTGTGTGTCAGTGAACAGAGTCTCCTGATACCTTAACCTGCAGTTCACACATTACTGAAACTCCAACTGTCGAACATTCAAGTCCCTTGGTACTGCTGCAGCTTCCAGACTCTCCTGACTGGCTCATGTTTCATTCTTTGGCAATTTGCCCTAATGATATCCCTTAGGAGCTTTCAGACCCTCTTCTTTTCCATATTTAATCGTGTTATATTAATCTGAGTGCTGAGCAAACTACGCTGCACGAATTGTAACTGTCTGTGATATCTGCTGCAATGGTCTTACAATTGTTTTTTTCATTTTTAGTGTAAAAATATAAGTACAAAATTACAGTGTAATTTTTATTTACAACTCTAAATGTCCGAGACAACCAGGGTGTGAAAGCTTTAACTGCTGACCTTTTGCGAAAGAGGATTTTTTTCTGTTTAAAATCCATAATGGTTTAGCACTTGTCGTATGAACAGGATTTACATTTTGTTTTCAGCTCTTGTTTTGTTACTTGTAGAAGTGTATGTCTTATAAACAGTGCTATTATCAAGTTACCCTCGGGTAGTAATTTTGTTGTGATATAAAACATTAGGACAGTCTTGTCTTTTTTCCATAGGCTTAACATCCTCTACATGGGGCATTCCCTTTTTTTTTAAATTTTTTTTTCGTTATTTTATGAGGTTTGTAGTGTTTTATTTACTGGATATAGACTACCTCATTTTGAACACAGTCTTCTCATTGTGTTGTACCTCTGTGGCTGCATAATGAAATAAATAAATTTTATTCCCTGTTAGCCAAGTGGTATTTGATAGAACCAATTTGAATTCTTCAGGTATTGCAGATTATTTTGTTGACTCAAGGAGTGAACTACACAACGTTTCTAATCAATTCTGCAGATTTATTTTTTTAGGAGTGAGTGGGTTCTTTTGTGGTGTGTGTTGTTTGGTTGGTTGGTTTAGAAAATCAGGTTTTGAATGGTAAGCAGATTGTAACACCTACTTTCTTGGTCAAAGAGGCCTGGTGACGCTGGTGCGAGACTTGCCAGTCTCTGCTTTGGGAAAGGAGTTTTGGAAAATTGTAATAAAGTTGCTTTTCTGTTGCAGGGAATATTCAGATTTTTTTTAAAGATAATTTGGAAATCAAGATAGTGACACCGACAGAAATTAATCCGGCTGCTGAGTTTAATGCTCTTCTGTGGCTTAGGCGGAGGTTCAGATCAATTCCAGTTGTTCCAAATAGCAGAAGAGTGGACGGAAAAACTCCCCTGATTCTCTCCCGCTCGGCGGAGCTGAGTGCAGCTGGGGTGCACTCGAATTCGCTGTGTTCGTGGCAGTACCCGTGTTTGATAAACATCAAGTAGTAAATGTTTATTTTCTTTTTTCAAGGAAATAGCTGAGCAAAGCTAACTTTTAATTGACTTGTTAGTCTGGCTTCTTGCAAATGTTGTGTACCAGAGTTCTTCATAGATACATTTAGGCAATTAAAAGTAATTAAAAAATGCTATAATAGGTGGTTTAGGGAGGTTAAGATTCTTACATGTCTAAAAGTTAATTTAAGATTTTGTATTTTCTTTTTATTTGTATTTTATGTTGCCTATTCTGTGTGTGTATTTTTATTTTTAGTTAACTGCTTGTGTTCATGCGTCAGCTGCATTGTTATATCCAATGTATTGGCAACACATTTACATCCCAGTGCTTCCTCCACATCTTCTGGACTACTGCTGGTAAGACAGCTCGCCTATTATCCCCATTTCTGAGATTCTTACCTGTCTTGTAATGCTAAGTAACTGGTGAAAACACTATCTACTTACATAACTAAATATACAGGATCCAGTTTATGACAGCACTTAAGCCAGTGCTTAAATGATGGCTTGAGTAGTGATATTTCAGCATGCCTTTACATGGTGTTTAAATTGGTACCTTGAATTGCAGTGCAGATAACTATCAGTGAAGCACTTACAATCATGTTTGTAGTAACTATTCCTGTTTTGTTGTTAAGAGGATGCATTCAGTAATTTAAATGTGGCTGTGTTACAGTTTTCTTTTATTTGACATTTATTTTAACTTGAGATAAATGGTACCTCTAGAAGCATTCAGGAAAAAATGGATCTGTTTTTCTGGAATCAAACATTAGTAGGCATCAATGTTTCCCTTAGGTCTATGCAGTGATTTCATGTTTGTATTTTAGACTCAGCCGGGTTCAGGATCCTGTCCAACACCTTGCGAAAAGAGCTTAAAATTCCTATTGGTACTTCCAAAATTTTCAATATAAAAATTCTGCTTCTCCTGTCATGTTTCTGTTGACATGACAGACTTGTGGTTTTGACAAATTTTTAGGTTGAACAAGAAAGAACCACTTTTTGAGTCACACGTGCCGGTGTTTAAAGAGTTCAGGCTAAGAAGAGATATACTTTCTTTTATTTGTAATAGTGCACCTGAAACAGGAGTATCCATCCCTGGAGACTTTCACTTTAACCCTGTGGTTTTGTGGTGGAAAAAACCGAACCATTTAAAGCCATTTTAGAGATCAGGGATTGTTATTATATATAAAAATTGAGTCCAAGTCAAATGCCTACCAACATAAGTCTATGTTTCTGTTACTAATGTTTTTCTTCACAGAAATAATTTATGCTTGTATGTTTGCTGGACTTTTCTTCTGGAACACATAAATATTGATGTTCCGTTGAACTCTACCCAGTCTATTGAACTTCTTGTTTTCAAAGAAATTCTCATTATGTTTCCTTAAGTCTCTTTGATATTTTTTGCTCAAGCTTACAATTTTTACCCATGGTATATCTTTTTCTGTGGTAGCTCCTATACTTCATATGTATATTATTTATTGTTTTTAGAAAGAAATCAAATATTATTCTCTCACTCTTCCCTTTACTTTCAACTATAGCTAAGCCTTTCATCTTTAATGAAAGTTTTCTTTTGAAGAAACTCTGCCCTAATTGTTTTTCCTCCTAGCTTTGATAAAATGCACAAAGATGGGGGTAGAGCTTGGATGTATTTGTTTAGTTTTTTGTATTACTTGAGCTTACTACCAGAAGCTTTGTAATTTCTTCAGTGTCATCCATAAATGCTGTTCTCAGAAGGTAGATCCACACCTTTATTCAAGCTGTACCCTGCAGAATGCATCCTGAATACTAGAAGATTTTTTTACTTCCTCTCCTAAGCACAGATAGTGTTTCCAGAAATAATCATATTAGGTGCTGGACATAGCGTCTTGTAATAATGATGATAGTTGAGATTCTAGATCATTATGGTATGACCTGAGGATTTTTTTTACTCATTACTCATTTACTCATTAAAAAGAAGCATGCAGTTTCTTAAACTTTTAAAACTCAATTATATCTCCTTTTCTTTTTCAAAGCAGTACAACAGTGAGAGAAAAAAAAGTTTCCCTTTTTTAGAAATGCTCGAATGGAAACATTCATGAAAGGAAATGCACAACTGATGAATTTACCACAGTAACTAATTCAGATCTTTTAACTTAGATTTTTGTTCGTTCACATTTCTCTGTCTGCTCACGTCTGGTTTGAATGGTTCTTTTGTGAGACAGGTAGGAATAGCATAATAAAAACACATAAAATATTTAGCTTTCCTCATGTTTTGGTGAAACAGTGAATAAATACCTTCCTTATAGGTATATAATATATCAAGTTAGAAAACCTTGATGAATGTATAAGGTAAAAGTTTCTGCTAGGCCAGATGCAGTGTGCAGTCCAAGAGGGTCATGTCAATTTAAAATTAATAAAATTATTTTCTAATGCATTTTTATATTTTCATTTCGATACAGTAAAGTTCTTTTTATAATAAAAAGTGCCTTTTTTCATTTTAGCTTAACATGCATTTTCATACCTAGAAACTACATTGTCATTGCTTCACTTGGACTTTGTTGAGATGTCTCCCATGAACTCTCATTTCCTTAGTGTTGCTCTGAAGTGGTGTTCAAATAAATGAAGTAGGAGATTATCAGTTTGATAATTTTGTTCACTTGAAGGGAGTAAGGCCTTTTTGAACAAAGATAAAATACATTTAAATCTGCTCGTTTAAATATAGGCCCCAATCCTGCAAATTTTCATGGTAATCATCCAACATATTTTGAAGGAAATCCACATTTTTTTTTTATGAGTTGGACTGTATATCTTCAAAATTTCATAAAGTTAAATGATATAATTCTGTTGGGGTTAGAATTTGATAAATTACATACACTGCTCACCTGGTATGTTTTGTGGGCATGAAAAAAGAAAAATATCTCCTTGAGTAAAACTGTTGGGAGTTATATTAAACAATTATTTAGATTGTTCCACTTACCTTTTTAATCAAAAAGATTCTGAGATTCTGTGAGGCAACCTGGTATACGGGCTTGGTTTATAGATAATGCAATGAATGTTGTTAAAGTAGTCCAAAGTCACCGGTACTGAGCAACAATGTGGGCTGTAATGCTGTCAGGATTGGCCTGGTTACTCGCAAGGTCCGGTGTGTGAACATCCTGTGTATTTATTAACTTCAGGATGTTTTTTCCCCCCACGTAGCTTATCTTGGCCTTAAATTCCATTATGATAACTCCAGTGTGAGAATTGCAACAACCATCCAAAAAAGAAAAGATATTAATTTTCTTTTTCTAAAAGACAGCAAAATTTTAGGCAGTGAGACTAATGTTCATTTTAGCTCTAGAGGAAGAAAATGCAGCAGAGTTACTAAAAAATTGAATTTTCTGAATATTTTTCAAGACTTTATTTCTTTTCTACATTTAAGTAAGCAAAAAGATATTGTTGCACTAAGCCCTGTAGGTGGCTGGCTTTCAAGAAAGCTTTTACAAAAATTAAGTTTGATCATTGATATAGTAATTATATTTGAATAAAATTAACTTTTGTAGAGGAAAAAGCTAACTTCATCAAATTTCTCTGTAATTTCTTGGCAAATTAAGTCACTGATAAAAGAATGTATGACAGTTTTGTCTGTGGATGATAAAGCATCTGTTCTACTGAAGCTCTGCTGAGAATATAATGCAATTAGAAAATCCAAGTTACAGTTGCAACATGTCTTTTTATGAGATTTGGTCTGTTCTGAATTGGGATGTACGCATGCTTGTTTTTGTGAGAACGCGACAATTATTGTCCAATTAACTTGCATATTTTGCTTAACACAGTAATTATTTTAGGCAATGATGCTGTAGATTAATAACATTTTTGGTAATAACATGCATAAGCAAGAGAAAACCTATATAGCAGCTCCCAGAAGTATCATAGTAACCAATTTCATGTATATATTACAAACCTCTGCTGTTAAGGCTTCAGAATCCAGCAGTAATAGAATTCATTCTTTGCTGAAAATGATCAAATTGACTTTCCATACCTGCAATTTTCATTTCATGCATTTTCAAGATGTGTTTATCCAATTAGCTTTGTACCTTTATTCTGTTAACTTCTCAAAACTGAAATGGTGTAGCTGTTGCTTTGTTCTGTAGAAAAGAGCTACACACTGCCCTTTTTAATGACAGACTTATTAATGGAGCAAATCATCAGCTATTTTAAGTCTGAACAGGCCTGGTGAAGCTACTAGAACAGTGTCAGTGTACAAGAAAACAAGTGTGCATAAAATGCATACATGATATAGCGCTTGTTTTCACTGTAGTTTCTCCAGTTCACGTTATTTGTAATGCTAAGATAACTCCTACGCGATGAACCTGAGGATCTATTTTGCTGCATGTTCAGCAGAAGAATCCTCAGTTATGTGTCAGTCATAGTCATTCTCATTGGTTTGGTTAAGTATGTTACGTAGTATAAAGCGATCTTAAAATTATAGTGTTTTAAAGCTGTCTGATTCCTCATGGAATATAAAGCTTCTCTGCTCTAGAGGTACACACATTTATGATCCCATGTAACTTGTGTTTAGACCACAAAGGTGTAAGGCCTTAGCCTGGACGAAGTCAGCAGGAGGTACGAAAATTTCTCAGTGTTGGGCTAAGAAGAAGATGTGTGGGGACATAGGAGTCTCCATTTCCCCATTGGAAGCCCCATTGCCTAGAAACCTTAAGCCATGACAATTTGCAATCTCGGCAAACCTATATTTTGATAGTATAAACATGATGAAAGCTTGGGTTGGCCTCAGTTAGTCTGAGTTTTGGGTGTGAAGGGGTTTTTGGTGTGTGGGGTTTTGGCTTTTTGGTTTTTTTGTATCGATCCTCTCCTGTGGGACATTGTCAATGAGAGCAATTGGCTAATCCATAGTGTATACAGATTTTTCTAAAACTTGCTGCAGTCGCAGGCAGGTGAGAATTGCTACTTTTGCTCCCATAGTTGGGACCAAATTGACGTGGCCACATGAACTGATGCAGCGAAGCCTCTCCGTGGGCCTCAGGAATTGAATTGCCAATCAGTCAGAGCCAGTGGCTTAGATCCATGATCAAATTAATACAATGGGAGAAATTACTGTGTGTCAGTTACCTGTATAGCTTCATATAAGTCATCTTACCTTCCATTTATTTTTCAGAGGTTATTTTTGCTTAGTTTTTCCTCTCTGCTCTGTTAGTATTTCTTTTCCCCCTGAGTTGCTTAAACATGCCTATCCATTGCTCACTTCTCTGGAGTGAGTATTTTCAGTAATCTCGCAGTACCCAAAAGCATGATGATGTTTTTTCCCTTTAGTGCTGGATACTGAATATATTCTTTGTCAGATGTTGCCAGAACACATTCACTAAAGAAGGAAATGGAAGATAGTGGGAAACCATGATAAATTAGCCTGACTAATTCAGTTTCTTGCTTGTGTACTGCGGGAGGTCTCAGTCCAGAGGCTTTGTGTGGATATTTGTTTTATTTTGAGAATATCATTCCTTGTCTTATTCAAATTGAAAATGAGAAGTTTACTATCTTGAATTAAATGGGATATTATACAGCTTCCAAATGCCCAACCAAGTAAGGGTTTCAGAAGCATGTTCAGAGCCAAAACTGGCGTTAATGGTGTTTGCATTGCAGTGGAGTGATGGAACGGGTACCATATGCTCCAGAATGGAGGCTGAAAGCCATTGTAGTTCTAGAGACAGCCCGCTTCTGGAACATCTGCTAGGTTAGCTCTGCCATGCAGTGTGGTTGGTTATTGAAACTAGCTGTGGCAAGCCTTACACATCTTCTCGCTCATACTTCCATAGTTAGGAACAGCGCCTTTTATTTTGTGGTTGTCTGCAGAGTGGGAAAAAAAAAGATTTCCCTTGTCTAGTAAAAATTTCTGTAGCAACTGTGTACATTTAATACAGCTTAAACAGTGAATGTTAACTAGGGACTTTATGTGCCAAGATATTAAATATATTTTGCTCCCTAAATGTTGTAGTAGTTGGTACTTAAAACAATAATTTGGCCTTTTCCACTTTTTTTCTTCAGTGCACCAATGCCTTATCTAATCGGCGTCCACTTAAGCTTAATAGAGGTAAGTTTACTGTACACTTCTGCATACTGATAAGCATGAGGTGTGGTTGCCATAAATGATAATTTTAATGGTAATGCCTGTTTTTTAGCATACAGAATAACAAAATTTAAACTTCAGATGCTTTACAAACTGAAAAATGTCTCTCTCTGAAATATTTTGAAGTGTTTTATGGGGACGTGTAAGTATTACATCAGGATTGTTTCTGTGTCTATTTAATAGCTCAATGATAGCTTTTTTTCCTGTCCTTTTGAGTGGTTCAGCAACAGAATTTCCCAATGATTAGAACAGTTAAAATTTATTCTGGAGTTGCCATCAATCAGAATTCAGCATCATTCTGATTTGCTGGATAATTTACGTTCCTGTCCCTCTAAAAATCTGAGTCTAACATTCATCCCGTAATGCCCATAACTATTAATTTAGAAATGAGTATTTTTTGCCATAAAACACGAGGTACCCTTTTCAGATTTAAACATACAACAAAACAATAGAACTCAGCTAAGTGGTAAGTAATAGCTGGATCATTAGTAGCTTTGCCTCTTTCCATAACCATTTGATGACACCATTAAGCCTATGTGTGTAGTCTGATTATCATGCAGAGCAGATAATTGATTTGGGAACTTTGATTTACACTTCTGCGAAAGCAGTTTCTGACGATCAATTCACATTTGCTAAGCTGATGAGGTGGGTTCTCTCCCAGTCTGAGACACTAGCACTTTTGTGTTTCCAAAGAAGAGCCTTCTATCGTGTACACTTAACTCTAGGCATAGCCTTGTGTTCTCTCAGATCAAATTCTTATGATCTGCATACATTGATCATAATGTCTTGACTAGGATATTTTTCCTTATTCCATCAGAAAATAATAGAACAGAAAGGTTTGCTCTGAAAAAGAAGCCACTCGATTCCTTCTGGAATTATTTCCTGGACCCCACTATTATGCATGATTGTAGGACCATATAGAAAAGAGATCTGTCATTTTTTCCTGAAGGGAACAAATGGTTTAATTCTTAGCTGCTAATCAGGTCCATTGATGAAATAGTATTTCATGTGTTCTGCAACAATACTAGTAGACATCACGTGGCTGCGACTTACGTAAATCTGCAAATAATTTTTGTTTTCTCTGTTTTCCAGCTGATTATCTGATTAACATCATATCTTTCACAAATATGAGGGAGTGAAACATTATGATATGTATAGTTCCAATATAGTTAACTGTGTTTTGTGTAAATCTTGGTTTTCAAGAACTCATTTATTGAATATACGTGCATTTCAGAGATTATTAATATAACCTTACTGTTTCATGAAGAGGGGGTGTTTTAAAAAGCTCCTCTGAATCCTCTGTCTAATTCACAAATCCTGGATCTAAAGCTCAAAATGTTGTGTTTGCCATTATTGTCCATTGTAAAATTATCCTTTCTAATCTAGCATATTATAATAAAAATGTACTTCAGGAGAATGCAATAGTAAAATGCTTTTCCGATATTTTTTTTTTTTCCTTTTAACAGAGAGTAAAAAATAGATCACTGGAGGATGTGGTTTTGCTAAATGCTGACACAAACACTCTAGAAACGCCTTTTAATGACCTGAACAACCTACCTGGTGAAGTGGTGAGTCTTACAGATATTTCATTCTTTCTTTCTTATATGGATGCTTGAATTACCAGTAGTTATTTTTGCCTGGTTTTGCTAACTGCTATAAAAGGAATAAGGGGGTGAAAAGCACCAAGTGTAGACCCCTATATTTGAGATTTTTACCTTTTTGACTGTTGAGGAGATGTTGAATGGAACATCATATTCCTTATTGTAAAAGCAGGATCATAATTATAAAGCTAGCTGCATTCATTAGGCATAGCTGCTTTAAACGCAAGAGTCTCTTCATCTCATCTTACTCATTATATTACAAAGTAGGCATTTCTGTCTGCCTAGTGGCATGTCTTGCAAAAGAACGAGAGAGTTTTTGAAGGCAAAAAGAAGGGGGCCAATTATCGGCTTCTGCTTCCCTGCCCCCTGCCAGTGTTTTCCTTTTAATTAATGATCTGATGGCACTGGTCAATATAATAAGAAATGCTTGTACAGTTGGGGTCAGAAAATTCAGACTTTGATCTTCTTCAACTTTCTGAAACATTTATTTGTTTTCTCTAAATTATTTCAGTTTTATTTTAATCTCTTTATCCTGCTGAGGGCTGTGTGAATGAAAACCTATACTGTTTGTCATTTCCTTTGGCAGAGCAAAGACTGCTTGCTTAGAATTCTATTTGTAAATTAAACTGCAAACCCAGTTTGTCATAAAAGACATCTGATCCTTTTGAAATGACGAAAACTGTCTTTTGTCTGTAAAGGATGATAAATTAAGTGCCAGTTCTTTCTGGACTTTGATCTTGCAGAGGGTGTCATATGTGTGTGTGTGTGTGTGTGTGTGTCCCCGCCCTTTTTTTTATTCGTATTGCCTATAGGGAAACATATTCTGTGTATCATTTTAAATAGTCACGAAATTCACTTACCTTGTTTTTCCCAACAGAGCTCTAAAAGAATATCATTGTGAACCACTGTTTTGATTATTTAGTTATAGACGCTCAGGCTATCACAAATGGTTGTCAAGACAAAGAATTTTATATCGAAATGTGAAATCAAAGAATTGCATTTTCTGAAATTGTAACTCATAAAAACAAACTGTCTTAATCAAAGTAAGGCACTGTAGTGACAGTGTGTCTTTTGGTTTTGTTGGTAATTCGTATATATTTGGTACAACAGGAATCAAACTCGATGACTATATTAATGTCAGTTCCCTTTGATTTTAATGATGTTAAAATCCAGACTTTTTATAGATCATGTGGTCAGTGTTTCTTTTGACTGAGTATCAACTATAGTTCAGAAATGTAAAAGACTGTACCAAAATTATTCTGATGTTTTGTGATTTTACATTAGTGTATGAAAAAGTATACACACATATGTATATTAAATAATTTTGACTGAACTCTATCATTCAAGAGTATAACAAGTAAAAAATGAGTCATTTTCTAGTGTGTCAGTAACTGACCTTGCATTCAGTGAAAAAGGTTGAGTTTATAATGTCATGGAGGTACATACCTCTTGTCAAGTAATAGCTAGATGCAGAACTGAGAATTAGGCATCATCTTCCATAAGATACTGGAGTTGTAGCTGGAGGTCCTTTGAACAGTAGAAATGGCTACTTGTCCAATGGGAGGGACTTCTCATGTATTTTACAGATGCATATCAAAATGATCTCTAAATGAGTAGGGTAGCATGAAGAAAATAGGGATAGAGCTCTTTATACTTTTAGAAGTATTTTCTCCCTCAGGATATATGCATGTTACTGTTATTAATGTTAATGAAGGTTATCCAAGTGTACAGACTATACAGCAGACTTAAAATATTTCATTCCATATCCAATATAGAACAAAACAGAACAACTGTGTTTTACGCAAAATATGCTTGCAGTGTTTGAGGATTTTATAATGAAGCTTTTAATTTGAATATTCCTATCTCTTCCTTTACTTCAGTCTGTAAAGCACTTTAATTAAAACAATTTAATGGAAAACATGCACAATTATAGTTGGAAAACCTGGAAATACAAGGCACAGACAATGCCCATGTTTGGCTCGTAAAAAGACAAAATGCTTTTCCTTCTTTTGCATTCATGAAGGGCAGTGCAACTGCTAACATCTTGGTAAAAATTATAACACGTAGAAGTGTGGAGTCAAAATGGTAAGTCAGACTTGAAACATTAAAGCCAATGTCAGATACATACACATGTGAAGCATTTTAACCTATATAAATAAACCTGATAAGCATACATACAAAGGTGTAAAACTTCTGATCAAAAAAATATAAGGAGTACCTCTGAAGGGTGTTAAAGTAGGATGAAGAACTCAAATATGAAAGAAGTTCCAGTCTTACTATCCCTTTCAAAAGTTGATTCCAGGTTGGTTAACAGCCAAACAAAAGAAATGCAGTATTTTCAGAGTTTTTTAAACCGTTCCTTGTGTCCGAAGGAAACTGAGTAATTATTTTCATGATCAATAAGCCTGATAGTGTCCTCACAGCATAGGTATTTAATAATTTACCCATGTATAAGTAATATGCTGATTAAAATGCTCGGATTGTGAATTTTTTCATGATAAATCTAAGATTGAAAAACATTATTATATGGCATTGTCTAATAAACTATATAATAAATTAACTGAGATTTAAAGGCATTTTTAAATCATTCACTTAAGCATTTAAATTATAGTTACAGGCTAGGTGACTTTCTATGCATGTGAACTCTATTATTCTGTCAGACTGACCAGTGGTCTTGACTGTGCAAAGGTCAGTGGTCACAGTTGTCCTGAATTACCAGTCCTTTTTTCATGTGGACCCTCTGCTGTGTTGCATGCTGTAATCTTCTTAATGGCTTCATTCCAATATTCACACATAATATTTTAGATTTATTGACTGTTAGAAATACTACCATGCCAGTAGCAGTTCCGCTACTCCTAAGGTTTTTAAAATTGGAAAAATAAATCAGTGCAAGACTTTCAGGAATCCTTTGTTTTCTCAGAGAGGGGAAAAACCCTCTTTTTCCTGTCTCCTGACAAGAACACTTGTTTTTAAATTTCATCATTTCACTGTGAATTTGTCTATTATTTTTTAATTAAAAAAAAAAAGAAAATAAGTAGCTACTTCTGTGGGAGTAAATTTCCTAATACAATAATACTTGGATTGCCACTTTAATAATGTAAGACATTAGAAAAAGAACATTTGTGAGGTATATAAATTAGTGGAGACCATAGGCACAAATTTATAATCTTTGGGCCTCATCGCAGTGAACTCTGACAAAATGACTATTCCTTTGCTCAAATTTGAACGCTTTCAGAAAAAGCTTGGAGAATTGAGTCATCACGTTTAGCAACCAAGTCTTACTGAGTGCTCCATAGACTAAGCAGAACTTTTATAAGTATGATCTTCAGGAAACAATAGGCTTTATAGGTTTTTAGCATCTTCTGTGGTCGTTAAATTTTGTTAACCGTAAAACATACAGAGCTGTTGAAAGATGCGTAGCCTTTGTAGAGCGTGGTGCCTGCACACTATGATGCAATACAGAATCTGAGCAATTTTTAGTTTTGAGATTCCTAAAGTCACAGGATTTTAACACTGTAAATTGGGCCTATGAACTGTTTCAGTAACATTTGAAACGTAGACTGTAATTCATGTAGAAAATTTAATTTACTTTATAAAACAATTTATGGGAGTGCAAATTATTTCTGAAAATACAAAGATTAATAGTCTTATAAAGAAGTTATGGTCGATGTGTAACAGTGCAACTAAAGAGAATTTTTGTAAAATTTTAATATCATAATTTACTATGTTTTCACATCAGAAAATAGCCAAAAATATTACTAATACATTTTAGAAACTCAGAGAAGTCAGCGGTGTTTGCAGTGTTATGAGGCAAATATTTATTTTGAACAATAGAACAATCTTCTTGGAGTTGGAATTCTGTTAAACCTCAATATAGTTTTAGAAGCTAGAATGTGAGATTGAAAAGTACAGCTAGTTTTGAAAACATTTTTTAAGTAGTTGTTTTCATCTAAACGAGTGTGATTAAATGCTAGAGGGCTATCTGAGATGCCTGCATCCTGTGTATGTAGAGAATATCAAGTATATATATGCATGCATAAGTTTTTACAGGAGCAAAGGCTTTGATTAATAGTTACATGATTTTATTAATTTATTTTTAAGAAGTTCTATTCTTCTACTCGCATGGATGTTGAAGAGATACTAGTGGGGCTTTGCTTCTGATCAGATAGTTGTATTTTAGGAATCTTAGAAAGGAGATAGGGCGATTTTTAAAAAATGACACTTTTTGTTTTAATGACCAACACAATATGTTTCTACATTTTAGATGCACTTAATTACATATGAAAGCAAAATCACAAATGAATCTCGTGCTTTTGAAATGTCTGAAAAACTATTATATTGATTTAAACCTTCCCGAAGCTCTGATTGCTCTTCATTGGTAGCGTTTCGTGGTCCAATGAAGTCACCTTCCAAAGAGAAGCTGTTGCTAGAAGATAAAAACAGTTTGCTTCTAGTGTAAATGAATAATACCATTTCTGAAATGGATCACTAGTGTCTTCCAGAAATAAATTTTAACAGCATGCTAACCCCTGTGGTTTGTTTGTTTGCAGTTCTTTATTTTTAAACTTTGTAAAAGGCTATTTCTACTTAAGACATGCAAAGAAAAGGAGAAGAAAAGTTTGGCATTCTTTATCATAGATAGGTAGATGGATTAAAGCATATATAAGGAAAAGATTTTGATAAAGATGCTGCTTGGTGTTTCTTTGGCGTGGTGCTGGAACTGTGTATTTTCTTTGAAATTTTAAGAGCTATCAATGATGTCATGCAAAGGGGTCTCGCACTTCCTTGGTTTTAGATTCATGGATCTAAGCAATCACAATCCTGCTGTGCACCAAGTCTAAGTAGTTCAGAGTACCCAGTCTCTCATCTGTACCTACTGCATTGACTGCAATAACTACTTTAGCACTCTGTCTTTGAACTGTGGAACTGGGAGAATTTGCTGACAACCCACCCAAATATTCAGCTTGGGTATGCCATCACTCAGTGGTGGGAGAAGGAAGCACTGTCCCTCTGCATGCACGTTTGCTGACCTCAGCTTGAAGGAAACCTGGGCAGGTCTCAAGGGTGCTTCACGCGTGCTGCAGCCAGGGTTCCGGTTGTGAGGACTGGGGAATCAGGGTTATGGCCCACGTTATCCCTGCAGGCTTTTTCTTAAGAGCACTGTGCTCCTAGTACTTCTGCAGAATAATCTAATAGAGCTCTTCCTGGCTTTTAGCATTGCCTCCTGAGAGAAGCAGAAGTTGGAGGAGCTTTCTTTGAACTCCAGCGTAGCCTTTCTGAGGCTTGAACTCCCTCCAGAGTGGCAGCATGAAAATGTGCATCTGACTTACGCTTTTTTGTGCTGGGGAACCCGCCTCCAAACTGCCACCCGTTGGGATATTCTTAATATTGTTGAACTAATAACGTACCAATACTGCAGTGAAGCGGGCGATTTGTTGCTTTCTGTTGTTCTTTTTAACACGTTTTTGCCTAAAGCAGCCGTTTATTGATTTCTGTTAGGGTACACAGGGCCTGCCAGAACTGAGAAAATCGGAAAATACCATTTTCCTTCACATCCCCCACTTTGGCCTATAATTCCTCTGCTCTACATCATTTTTACCTCCGTTCTTCTCTTACCCTGTCTTATTGTCTGCCATAATTTCCTCGAACTCACAAGGTATAATTTAAAAGAATGTAGAGAATTTTCTACCTTTTCCCTCATATTTAGAAGAAGCTTTGTCAGGCATGACAGAGACAACATTTTAAGGCTTACAGCTGTTTTTTTGACCTCAGGTTACTGCTTTTGTTTTAGTGCAACTGAGCTAACGTTGTTGGGCAGATTTCCCTTATACAAAGAATAGAGACATTTATTTCCCCAAGAATTAAATAAGCCTTATTTTTGATAACTTAAAAATAATCATGAAGCACAGAACAAAAAAAAACCCCAAAACCAAGGGATGCATTTATGTTTTTCAACCTTGAACTGCTTAAGTGGGTTTTGTACTCAGACTTGTACTTTTTTTTTCTTTTGAGTTGTAAGTTAAAAACATAAATGAGCCTTGGTGTATGCTTTCCATGGGCTAAACGAATCAGGCTCTAAACTTTTATCTAGATCTATGGAGCTTGGATATAAATTGAAAAGATCACAGCTATGGGGAAAAGACCTATACTGTAAAGGCCTTTCTGCATAGATTATGAACATCATAACTCAATAATTTTTTTTTCAAAACTATAGTATAATTGGACCCAATGGGGGTCTCTCTCTTTGATCAGATCACAGTAACTGTGACTTTACACTGGAAAATGTCACTACTGTGAAGGTTTATCACCTGTAGAGCTGGTCTTTTCTCTGATGCCATGTTCAGTTCTCATTAGCATTATTCAAAGTTTAGTTGTTAATTAGGCTGACACTTCAATTACAATCATCATCTACAAGAGCAGTCAGGACTGCTTGCATAAAAAAGCTAAAAGATACTCATTCTTGCATGTATTTCTAAAAGAATGAAAGCTGTTTTGCTGATAGTTTGTGTTTATAATGTTCTGTTTAAAGAGTAACTCTTAATGTTACTTTGTATAGTATATAGCGACTTAAATATTGCTTTATTTGGTATATTGCAATACAAAGGGGTGTACAAGCATGTATTTGATGTAATTGGAATTCACTTCTCTAGATGTCTGTCATGGTGAAAATTAGGAGAGAATAGACTGTAACTGGGTATAATTCCAAGTATCTTTAAATAATACTGTAAGAAGAATTACGTGATTTTTCTCCAAAGTGTCTCCAAGTAAGGGTCACCTAAATTAAAATGTCTTTTTTTTATATATAATCAGTGATTGCCATTTGCCAAGTAAAAAAAGAATGGTCTTTTTGTTTTTTTGTTTTTTTTTTTACCTACAGGTGTCTTCTGAGAGTTGTTTGTGGGTTTTTTCACGTTCACATGTTTTGTCTTCGAGGACAGTTCTAAAGACAGTGTAGCAATTTACACAAACTTTTCTCAACTGTTTGACAGTGGTAGCAGCTACTCCCATGGTGTATGAGAAATGATGTAAGATAGTAATTTGACTTAAAAAAAAAAAAAAATCGTCCCTGAAACCGAGTAGCAAGTGACCATTAAGAGTCTTTAAAAATAAGCCTTCACAGCATAAATCAAAAATACCCAACTGTCTTCGTTCAAAACTAGTGGGTACATGTTATGATTGAGAAAAAAAAAATCTGCAGAAGAGTATCTCACATGCATTTTACTGTAAAAATAATTAAGCTTATTTATGTCAAGAGGCCTTGGGAAAAAAAGAGAGCATAAACCAATTTGCATTAGCACTCTACCAGCATCCCCTGCTTTCATTTCAATTAACAGACCAGCAGGTGCTCTTTGCAGTTAAAAAGATAAGCTATCAGGAAGGAGGATGAATTTTTGGCTGACCTGTAGACACCATGGTTTGCCTGCTGATTGGGTTCATACCTCGCTGTACCAATTTCTGAGGTGTTAATTTAACTGTTCCACTCTGTCGTGCAGGTCTCGGCCTTGAAAAATAAACTGAAAAAGCAGTCTACAGCGACAGGAGATGGAGTAGCCAAGGCCTTTCTTCGGGCACAGGCAGCACTGTTTGGATCCTACAGAGATGCACTAAGATACAAACCAGTAAGGCTTCTTCTCTACTTCGTTTTTTCCTTAATTTGTGAAAGCACAGTCTCATTCCTTGCAAGGAAAATATGAAATGTTTTATCCCAATGTGAAAGATTTCAAAGAAAGTGTTTTAAATCTTACTCTATGCAAAGGGTACATTGGCAATTTAGAAGACACTACCACCTCCTGACGGTGAGTTGTACTGAAAAATAAATGCTCATCCGAAGTCAGCTATTCTCTGATTTGTATCACTTTTATAATTTCTTTAGTATAAAATCAGATTGTGTTAATGAAACAACTTACACACAGCTCACCTGGTTTAATGTGGTGAAGAACTGAAGAGGCTGTGCCTTTCAGACTCCATCATTTTTCACCATACTACGTCTAGAGACTTCGCTGTGTTTCAGGCCAGAAGCTTTTTATTTCCTAGCAGAAGCCAGATATGAGTGAAACATGCATCTCTTCTATTAAATGCTAATGTTGATTCTACTGAGAAGTTAGTAGAAATTAAAACCCATTTCATCCCATCAGAACTTCAGGATTTGTATTTTGGATGTTTTGCTGGTACTCAGTAGATTAACGTATTATGGGCTTGCATCCTTTCTGGCTTATGAGGGTGGCACATATTGAGCCTATTAGAGACAAAATCATTGATCAGAAACAACTTAGACATTCACTTAATCTGTCAGTCCAGATTCTTTTCCTATACTATCCGCAAACTACTCATAGTGGTTCCATGTGGTAACATGTGTTGAGATGACATCGGCTGAATCGGATTCTGAGGATATGATACTTGGTGGTCTGATGGATTCAGATAATTATTGAGATTTGATAGGAGAAAACTATCCATGCTTGAGGAGCCAATTTTGTAAAATTGTTGAGTGTGTGGGTGCATGGGTGGATGCTTGTTTGGGGGCAAGCAGGGCTGAGTATTCTGTTGTTGGGTAAGGAACTATGTGATATTTCTAGATGGAAACGGATAAGATAGTTTTTAATTCCGGATGAGGCCTTTTCCCGGAGGAAACATTAAAGTACAGTATGGCAAGTCTTCCCCCTACCCAAGTGGTGCTCTTACAGGTAGTCTCTTTTGCCATGAGTGTTTTACACACTAGCTGTCTGTGCCAATGACAGCCATTGTTATTGAGGTGAAAAGTAACCCATGCAGAAATCAAGTAATGTTTCATCCAAGTATTTGTGTTACGCAGTCATTATAGTTTTCTTATGATATGGAAAGCCAGTTTGCGTACTATATTAAATGACTGTAACTGCTTTCAAAATCACTAGAGTTCAACACAGTACTAGTTCCATTAAAACAAATAATTTCAACAGATAGTTGTCATTTATTCCATAGTGACATTACATGATGTTGCTTCAGGAGGGTTATCTGGTTTGTCCCTTAGTCTTAAGGTGAGGACGCTAGTTCGTGTCAACTCATGGCAGCTTGCAGTAAGAGCTGTTGAGTCAAAAAGTGTCTTCATCTACATTCACTGTATGCATACAGAATGATGTCAGTCTGGTTGATGTCCTTACTTCTGTTCTGACCAGAAATAGGCTCCAGTTGGTCCTTTGTTTTGGTAAGTTTGTTGAACTGAAGGTGCAAGTTGTTTAGCATTCTGGTTAGCATCTCTGTTGAAATGAGCTCTTCTTTTAACTGATTTCCGTTTCATTTCAGTTTATCTGTTGGCATATCTGAGATCTACATTTCCACTCTATTGGAAGTAGTGCACCATGAATCATTTAAACTGGCAAACATTTGTCAAAGTGACCTTTGCAGTCTTTCTTTCTGCTTTATTTTCTTTTGCAGGTTTTTTGTTTTTGTTTTTTTTTTTCCTTAACTCCAGTGATTGCATATAAGAGAAGATATTTATGAAACCATTGTGGCCTGATGGTTCTTTTTCTTTCAAAGATATGTTATTCCAGAATATCTTAACAGGCAGAAGTCTGCTGGCAAATACCAGCATATCTTGGATTGGCATCAACTTGTCCAAAGACAAAACGTATTTAAAAAAACAAAAAGTCTTATCGGTTATTTTGAGCTGTGTTCACATAGTTTTAACTAATTTAGTATTTTACAGAATTTTTGTTGTGATAGAGAAGTTTATTAGAAGCTGACTTTGCTCTGGATTAGTAGAAACTAAGAGGAGTTATCCTGTGATTGTTCAGCTCATTTTACATGTGCTTTTTGAACTCAGTTTAATGTGTTATGAATTGGGAAGTTCAGAAAATCAGATCACATTTGACTGTCTTAGGACCATTTGTCAGGAGTCTCAAAACTTGTAAGTTGTTATTGCAAAGAAAATACTCTCCTTTGTTTTGGAGTCTGTGATGCTGGATGTAATACGGAAATCTAAATCACAGTTATGGACTTTATTTACATTCTTTCAGGAACTCAAGTAGTATTCATGTAGAAAATTTGTAGGGGGTATACTTAAATGAGAGTATTTTCTGTATGGATTTGAAATACTTTTGCTATAAAAAAGCTTGTCATATTTTCAGAATCAAGAACTGAGATGTTTTGGGGTACCATTTTTAGGATCGCATACATCCTGATGAATTTGGGTAGTTATCTATTACTTGTAAGTTGAAAAATATGTTTAAGTGAAGTATTTTCCTTGCAGCAGTGTGTTCTGTATGATTTTAACTTGAAACATGAAACAACTGTCATTAATATTCACTTTGAGTAAAGAACAGCTTTGATAGTGTCTGTACTCATCCAACACTTCTCTTCATTCCAAACTCTGTTCATCACACTGAACACTCAGTCTGTGCAACTGTTTGTTTTCAGCATAGGACAGATTCTCCTCGGTATAGCAATATGTCTTGAACAAACGTCTAGCAATTATTGAAAAAAAAAAAAGATTGGTAAAAGGGAAAACGGGAAGCTTTAAGGGTCTTGAAAGGTTCATGGGACTCCAAAAGACCATATGGAAAATTTGACTACTCTAATAGAGACAGAAAATGTGACATGTAATAGATGAAGGTGATCATATTTCATTGAGTAATAAATGATAATAAAAAACTTAATCCAGTAAAAATTCCCAAGAAAAGTGGAAATAGTTGTTTTTTCTGTTTTAATCACAATACTGAATTAAAGAAATTGATCAAATTGATATAACTGCCAGAAGTATTTTTGTAATAGGCTACACTTTACATTAGCAAATATTGTGTAATAGGAGTGGATCTGTAGAGCAAAACAGTACAATCGGTGCCAAGGACCTGACATCCACACTGTGCAGTTCTAACTTTATCGTAGTTCTTATTTTAATCTGGTGTTGAATACTGAATACTCAGGACTAGCTGGAGCTCATTTCTGCTTTAGTTTAATTCAGAAGGAATCCAGTTCATGCATGGTAGGTGGGGATGATTGAAAAAATTGCTTCACTGTCGTTTAATAAATAAATGACTGAAAAGTAATCCAGAACAAAATTTCATCAGTGGAATGGTGAATTATAATGTTTTTGTATATGGTCTCATTCATGTAGAGGACTGCAATCCGTTTTGGTATGTTGGGCGAGATGCTCCATGACAGAGGAATGTGCATGGACTTTGCAGGGGGATCTCCAGCGGTGGCAATGAGGCCATTCAAACTGTTTTGCTGTTAGGAGCCCTGGAATACAGAAAGGCAGGTGATCAGTGCATGGCTGTACTCGCCCAGCTGGCAGCTGCAGTGTGAGCCATTGCACGCTCCGCAACATCAGTGATCGCAAACAGTTTTCGGAGTCTAACCCTGCTGAGGCATTGCAGCCATCGGACTGTGGTGAGAGAAGTGCTTCTTACATTGCCTAAATGCATATACAAATCCAAATTATATTTACTTTTGGGTGGTCACGACTTAACCTTGAACCTTTTGTTGCTCCTATTTTCTTTAGGTAGTCCAGTGTTTGGGAGTTAATAATGGAACAGTATTGCATGTTCCATGTTTCAGAATTGCATGCATAGGTGGGAGTTAGACAAAAGATTACGATTATGCAGTTTGTGTAATTTTTTCAATCAATCTATGTGCGATGTTGTGTTTTTTCTAGCTGTTTTACATTCTTCGTGGGTGATTTTTGGACATCCTTCCTTATATCAGGCAAGAGCCACACCAGTCAAACATTTTAACAACTCTGTGATAGCTAGCGAAAACAAGCCTTACACGTGTACTTGTGCAAACCTTGCAGATGAAAGCACAGACTGGTAAATTTTTTGCATTAATCGTATACAGTATGGTCAGTTAATAAAACACAATATGATATAAAGAATCCTTAAACAGGCAATATTCCTTATCTATGTCTAGAGAGGGAGAGGTAGATAAGAAAATGAGGAATAATAGTAATGAGTATAAAAGTATATTTGCCATGATAGAGATTAATTTTATCATCAGGAAAATAAGCAAAGCAGAAAAGTTGTTTGCTCCTAAGCAGCAAACATCAGGGAGAAATACAAGTGTGATATTTTTATTTTTTTTAAAAAGTTAATTCATCATGGCAAGACAAATACATTTCAAATGTATTGCAAATAAACAAATCCTCTTACTTGGTGACACATCTATGAAGAGATTATGGAATATAAGCAACAGTAACTTATTTTCTGCCTTTGAAAAATTTGGCTTTTATTCAAGAATTAACTAAAAGAAGTTGTCGACAAACAAAATCACCCCTTTCAGGAAAGAGCTCACGATGTTAAAACAAAAGAAGTAAACCCAGGATAGCTTTAAGTTATGATCGTTGTAACATCACTCATCAGAAATAAAGAAATGAAGAGCAAAGGCTAATGGCTTGCTCTGGAATGCTCAGCAGCAGGAGTTCGTGGTCTCATCAGTACACCATGGGTGCAGAGATAACTTTCAGCTTGAAGATGGCACAACCTGTCAGAACTCACTTTAACTGAATGCTAACTGGAGCGCTTTGGGCCAATATTGACACTATTTTAAGTAGTGGCACTGGCTCTCCAACAGATGCAGGTATTGTATTCAATATGCAATAAATCAAAATAATCCAATGAAATGTTATATTAGGAAAAAAAGAGGTATTTTAAGATTCAGAATACACCTGAATTACTTGAGAATGCATAAGTAACAATTGCTTACAATTGAGTATCAAAATGAAGCTTTTTCAGGACAGGTATCTCTTGAAATGGGCATTGACTGGTTTGCCTTTTCCCCAAGAGTTAGGGATGAGAAGTACAGCAGAGTACACAAAAAGAGGCAGAGTGATGAAATGCCAGAACACAGTTTGTGTTTATATCCAGAATCACCCTGAGCAATATCTGTTATGACTATTTATTGTGACTTCCATAAGAATTTTATTTTACGTGTTGAAAATTATTGTTTAATTTGTCTTACGAACTGTAGTAGTCCTTTATTGAATATAGATATTATACTAACAGGAGTTGTTGTAGGGTTTAGTTGTGCTATAAGCGATATCAGCATATCTGAGTCTTTTTTTGGGTACATTGCAGGAAATTTTCAACTTTTGCACAAACTGGTTTGTAATTTTAAATGGCACCTTTCTGAGCAGAATTATATGTCATACTCGGTTATCCCCTGGCCTTTAACTCTGAATGACAGCAGATGAAATTTCAGCTTCCATGATTTTAAACAGAGGAATTTTAATATCAAAACCGAAATGGTGTTTAAATTTTTTTTTTTTTTAAAACAGATTATACAAAACCATAGAAGCTATGGCCATACCTAGCTGCCTTATACTCTTCATGTAATAAGTGAGAGCTACCATATGAAACAGTATTAATTACAGCAATAGTACAAATAGTTGGTATGAGTCATCTCATGCTAGAGTGATATGAATGTTTTCTGAAACAAAGAATTAAAATGTTTGGACTTCTTGTTCAGGTTAAATATCACTAGGTTTAGAAAGCACAAACATACCTTTTAATCTAGATTGTTTTTCTTTTTAAAATGATCATGCTGTTTTAGCTCACTGTTTCTATGTTCCATTGAGGTTTGTATAAATAGCTTGCTTAAAATGTGAATGTAGCTTAGAAAACTGCTGTGTGTGGCAAGCTATGAAAGGGGAAGAAAATTCTATAGCAACTGTTGTTAAAAGGACGGATATCTTGTCTGGGCAGAGATTGTTTGGTCTGAGTATTAGCTGTCTACTTTTCAGTATAGGGTCCCCACTGGGTTTTGATCGAACTTGTTTTAAAAGTACGTTGTAGATCAATACGACAGGGGCCATTTGATGGTCTACTGGTTAAACATCAGTGAAGCGTGCCTCCAAAACTCAGTTTCTAAAGGTACCCAGTTGTGTGTGCAGAAATGAGACTGTTATAAGCTTTATGTACAAAAACTTCTAGAGCTATTTTTGTTTACATTGATTCAATAACTTATTTTTTAAATAGCACTTCAGAAGGCTTCGTGTTCACAGTAATAATCTTGAAGATTTGTAAAAGTTTTATTTGGAAAACAATTTTGTTATTCAGAGCCTGATTTCAGTGAAGTTACAGCAGATACCGTGAGAAAACTTCAGTGTAGAATTTCTACAGGTTTCAGCTGATTTTCTCATTTTCATGTGCTGAACAGTTAGAAGCTTTAAACCTACAAATATTTTTAAAGCAACCTTGCCATAAGTAGATTCAGATAACATAGATGACTTTTGGATGTGAACCCTTTATAGTTCTAAATATATTTTCAGCTAAGGAGTAACTTTGGTTATTCTGTCTCTGAACTGTCCTGATAAGGGAACAGATGCACCAATGCATGAGTGCTTACTAAGTGTCTAAAGCATCCAGTGACTAAAGGAGAGTATTTGGGAAGCTATTACAGCCATGCACTAAAAATGTGTGTTGAACTACCATTTCCTGGCGTTCTCTTACATGGCTCGGGTGGGAGGAGTGCCATCTCGTAAAACTATCTTAACTGTGCTCACTTCCCAGGCTGATGGAGAAGGGAGAGCAAGCATGCCTCGTTTCTGCTGGGAGATAACCTCTCCTGTTTCTCTTTCATCTTTCCCAAGACAATTGGGAAAGTGGCAGTGGAGGCATAGCTTAGGTTTTATTTTTCTAAATAGAATATTTTAAAAATACTATTTTCTCTCTTTGGTCCTAAATTTAGTGTTTCGTAGTATGTCATGAGCCATCATCTAGGCAGTTCTGCTCAACCACAAAGCCTCTGTATTTCCAGAAATCATGTCTTTGTGTAACAACAACAAAATGTGTATATGTAAGTAAGGGGTTGTTATAATTTGCTGCCTTGAAATTTTTTGGTAGAATGACAGAACTGAGAAGAGAGTCTGCCCTCAGGAAGACTATGTCTTGTACCACCATGTCTCACTGGAGACTATTCCATTTGTTTTGATGCACTTTGAATTTGCAAAGTAGCTTGGGGTCATCTTCCGAAGACAAGAGTCTTTAGGAGCTCAAGAATCGCTAATGCAAAGTGGGTCAGGAAGGCAATGCTATTTAAAGTACCGCAAACATTTCAAGCTCTTTGGCAGATCCAGCACGTCCTGCATGTGTACAGTGTTCACCGGTTAGCTCGGGGTAAGTGGGTACCTTGGGTGCTTCTCCTGGAGGCTTGATTGGCACAGTGCTACATATTGTACTGAGATGTGTGTGCATGCCACAGCATTCCAGCTGCCCTGTGAAAGGGGAAGGATTGCATTAGGTAAATGTATTGCTTTGAGCTCTTCCAGTGAGATTTCTTTTAAAAAATCAGAGGTTCCCTAATGTAGTAACGATGTAAAATTTAAAAACAAGTTAAACATGCGCTTAAGTGCTTTGCTTAGTAGGATTGGACCTCTTAAAAGAGACACTTAAATAGGGAAGCTTTTGATAGTATGAGAAAAGGATTTTAAAATCATATCACAGTGTTTATACTGCAACATTTCCTTGGTTCATACTCGAACCATTTAAAAAGAAAGTGCAAGGTGTCGAGAGCGGTTGAAAATGATTTAGAGCTGTCCCACCAAACTCACCTAGGTCACATCCAGGAAACGCTTTGTGGTACTCTGGAAGCAGATAGCTGCGCAGTCAGCCAGAATGATAGGAAAATGCGTGAAGCGTAGGTGGTTAAACAGGGTTAGGAGCAGAAAGCTGTGGTGATCACAGGCATGAATAAATTTGTCTTTAAAGTGGCTAGCAGTTGGAGCTGTTGTGAATACCAGTGTAGCAGCTGTCCTTGATCTTTTTTCTTTTGAATGCATGAGGTGTCTTTTATTCTGTTGTGGGACTGCACTGTATAAGTAGCTTTTGGGTAGTAAAATAGTCTACGGTAGATTTAGATGTGGCGTTTTGTTTGACTCCGAATTTCCTGTCTTTGAGACCTTTGGTAATTGTTTCTAACCTGGTAATCATTTTGGTTTTGTATACTGGGGTGAGGGGCCTTCTGGCTTTATGGTGAAATCAGTTCACGTACCTTGATCACTGCGCAGACTTTGTAAGGTACCTAGTGTTGGTCTAGTTACGCCAAGCAGCTTCAAGTATTTATCACAAAGTATTGACAGGAATAACAGTATTGGAGAGAATGCTCATCAGAAATATCCAGTGATCTCTGCATACTGAAGATAGCAAATTTGAAATGAAATCAGGGAATAACATAGGAGTCAATTTGATTGTTTATAAATAAGCTTGTTAGTGTCTTTTGTTTTTAAATGAATGCTGTTTTCAGTAACATTTTTTTCAACAAACACTTCATTTTCAATGAATACTTGTTTATCTTCCTTCATCATCAAAGTGTTCTGCTGCAGGGTTTTTGGCAACTACAGGCTATGCATTTTTTCCGTGTTGGGGAAATACATTTTATTGTACTAAATATTAATCTCATCTGTTCAGACTTTCTCCATAACAATGTTCCAAAAAGTCTGTAGCTTCTGTTTTGTGTAAAAATAAAGTAGATGTGTATTTCAGTAATTACCTGTTCAATCAGCAGTAGATTTATCCATCTTCTCATGTTCTGGTAGAATAATTATAAAAATAACTTGGTGCAGATATATTGTTTTCGACTGAATTAGAGTTTTAGTTTACTAGTATTGCGGGTTTAGCATGCCGGGGAATCAGAGTAATCCTGAACAAGAGTGCATGTTAAATTATTTGAAACAGTGGACCTGTTCTTCCTCAAAATTTCCACCGCTTCCTTGAATTTTTTAATGAAGAGTGCTATAAAGGTAGCATGAACCAAATGTAAACCACTTCAGCTTTTCCATGCAATACGTATTTTGTAGACTGACTTCATAAACCATAGGTTCAATTGCAACATGTATTTTGAGAACTATTTAAATGTTCTGTGAAGATTTGGGGCTTTTTTTGTTGTTGTCTATGTCTGTTTATTTGGTTCAATGTTTATCAAGATTACTTGAAAGGAAATACTTGGGCGTATTGACTATTAAAAAATACATTTGTAATGGAGAATTTGAAATAAATTGGCGTATTTTTATATTATAGTTACCATCTAACTTCTGTTTAAATTTTTTAGGGAGAGCCTGTAACTTTCTGTGAGAATAGTTTTGTGAAGCATCGTTCCAGTACTACTAAGCAGTTCCTGGAAACTGCTGTTAATCTTCAACTATTTAAACAGGTAGGAGAGGGTAAATGGCCCAGGTTTAATGACTTTCTGTTAAAACCTTTCCATATAAATACATTTTCCTTTCTGTCATATTATGAAACTCTGCGATAACATGTAAGTACAAGTACTTCGTGTAGTAGCAGTCATCCCAGTTTTGTTCTATTTTTAAATCTTCAGTTATACTAAAAAAAAGGGGGGGGGGATGGGACGGGGGGAACTCAACAGAAAAACAACCCCAGGGTGCAGAGCCATGCAACATCTCTTCAGAGCCAGTCAGCAGCTCATCGAAACAAGAAAAGTCATGGATCTCCCAGCCTGATGGTTGGATTTCATTTTCAGCTCTCTTGGCTCATAACCAAAGAATCTAAACAACATAGTGCTTACTTAAATTGGACTTCAGTGGCATTTTATTTAAAAACTCGATTCATAGTGTAATTGCAGTTTTGCTTGCTGGGCTTTTTGAAGTATGCACACAGAGAATGCTACAAACCTGAGCCATAGGGCTGGCCGGAAGAATATTCTAGCTGATCTGTTAATGCAGATTTTGAACTAATAGAGAACAAATTGTTGAATGTCTGGCACAGCTCAGTAATGGTTTTATTACAGTCTTTGAAATGATTTTTTTCTTTGATTTTGTTCTATAACTCCTTTTTTCTCCCTTTTCATCACATGACCCCATTGCATCAAAAGGGTATTAAGGAATTTACTACTAAATTTTGAGGAAAATCAAGGAAAATCTGAATGAAATCATAAGACTCGTAGAAGTATATGTTTGCCTGCAAATATCTGGAATGATTGAGGCATGGGAGTTCATGTTTAAATAATCTGTTGGACTTCTTTGAAGATATACTACTGTGATAGATAAGGGAAATTCATTATATGTAGAATCTTCTAATTTTTAAGAAGCATTTGGTGTTAATTAGAAGCTAGTGTCTAAAGTAAAGATTTATGCAAGGATGATTGTGTGTAGAAGTCCTGTGAAATTATGTTTCTCCTAATTGTATAAAAGTTAAGGAAATACTGATCATAGAATTGGGCTCCTTTACTGTGTTTTGTTTTAATACAATAACAAAATGTAAATTAAAATATAAAATGGTAAAGAAGAAATCTGAAACCTTTTGAAGTATCCGGCACATGATTGAAGTGGAAAGAAGTAATGGAGTAAACAGTGTTCTGTACATTTTGCATATCCCAGTGTGATAAGCTAGCATGAAACTTTCTTAGTAGAAAGCTGCCTAAAAGCAAGGTTTCTAAATTGCTGTCACATAACGCAAGATCATCAGCTGTAAGAAAGAGGTTTAACTCCACTGAAGTGAATGGGCTTGTGAGTGTGGCTCTGTACTTGCCCATTACATTTTAATATGTGTTCAATTAAACAGAATCAGTTTACAATTTGTTTATAGCTTGTTGTAATTTTATTTCAACTAAAGGAAATAATATATTTTAGAGGGTTAGGAAATTGTAACAATTTTGATGATGTGTGTGGTTTAATAGTAGGAGGAGGATTTTTTAATTCCTCTAGTTTATGTTGCGAAGGTTACTTCTACTTTTTCGGCCCAGCTGCATCTTCTCCAGTTTTTCCCACTGACAAATGAGCTGTTTTCAAAGTTGTTCATGTTCAAAAAGACTAAACTGTATTTTATTCTGTTCTGGAAAATCTTTCAAGCAGAAAATAGGTGCTTTTAAAGGCACCCTTTTTGCCAGAACTAACAAGTAAGCTTTATTTACACCATTTCATGAAATCCTTCCTCTCCTTTCTTCTCTGTAGGTTTTTAATTTTCTCCCCCTCTATCCTACTTTGACACATGTTAATTCCTCTAATTTAACCATGCTCTTAATTTTGGAAGTTGTAGTATCTTTTCACCAAAGTACCAGGAAATCACTGTCAGAACAGATTGTGGGGTTAATTCTTTGTGTTACTCCCATTCAGATTATTTTCATCTTCTACAGCATCTGTTTTTACTTTGTATTACACTTTGTGCTTTCTATTCATGATATCCCCAAATGTACTAGCACATGCCAGTCTTTTGTACCAAAATCATTAACTAACTTGTACATAGTATCAGTCGCAACACTTGCCCTTAAATACCATGACCGGTGATGCTTCCAGCCTGATATTTTTCCTTTCGTTACAAACTGTTATCTCCTTTTTGGGCCAGTCCTCATCCAACCAATTCAACCAATTTCAGATGCATTGTTCAGGAACTCTGCTTTTATTTAATCTAAACTAGTATTTGGAACCACGTGCAAGAGGCTTTTTTGTCGTATAGATAAATTGCATTTCCTTTATCTAGGAAATTGTCAAAGAATCTGTGAGAACCAGTGTTTTGATAACTCGTATGTTACATCTTTCCATTTAGTCATTTACTATTTTTCATCCCAAAATCTATTTGTAAGCCTCATCAAATTGTTAAGGGCAAATGGACAGAACAGCAAGTATCACAGCCTTTGTTTTTTAAGTCATGTACTCTTCACTTCGACTGCGGTTCCTTCACCTTGATAGACTCATAAAAATTTTTTTTCCTCCAGATTTATCTGCTGGTTTCCTTAGAATCATGTAACAGAGGTGAATCTAAGGGTTTTTTGACTCAAGTTTTATTCCTCAGGTATTATAATGTCAATTTCTGTGTCTCATTTTCCGTAACACTTGTATGTTCGTTCCTTATTCGGTATCATAGTCTTTACGGAAAATTGAGCCAGGATATTTTCAGGGGGAACTATGCCTAGATTATCTTTTAGCCTCAAACCATTCTCTCAGACTTCTAAATTATGCAGATGTCTTTTACATCATGTTGCTGACTTCACATTTTTGGAAGTTGAAAGGACTCTTTATATTGCTCTGAAACAAAATACACCAAACTGTTTATGAAAAACATACATTTTCCAGGAATTCATAGAAGTAATTTATGATAAATACCCTAATATGGATTACAACTGTAGGGACGTGTGAATTTCAGTTAGCTGGCTTTAGTTTTCCAAAACGGTCTTCTGCCCTGAATAGATTTAATTTTAAAAACTCTGTTTATCATTATTTTTAAACTATTAAGATATTTAGTCATATTAAAAAAAATTCTTAAATAGAAAATGACTATTATTTATAGATTAAATATTCTTATTTCCTGATTAAATTTTCTATATAGGATAGTTTTTTTCAGATTAATTATTTATTCTCTTAGACTGTATATTTGTGTTACTTATATTCTCACTGGTTTTTTTCCACATCTTTGATATCTGTATTATGTACGCTATCTCTTTGTTAGCTTTTTCTGAGCCTTAGAAAGGCTCCCCTTTAATTAGCTACTTTCCATGTTACCCTAATCTTTATTTCAAGCATCAAACATAAGCAACTAATAGTTGCATCTCACGTCACATAGTTCTGACGAATGTCCAGGGATAATATTAATTCATTCTTAGAACTAGCATGAAGCCTAATGCTAAACGATCTTGTTAAATAACGTAATTGTATGAGTAATATAATCCACAGTGTTTATTGGGATTTGTTCCTAAAATGGTAGAAAGTGCTAACTAGAAAAATAAATAATGAATGCAGGATTAGGATTTGAAGAATCATGAGTCTTTGAAAATTTCAAATTTCATTTACAAGCTTTATGAGTTCAGCTCTCTTCTTGCAAGCTATTGAGCTGTTATTGTGTGGAAATCACATTTATGATGTTTTGCTTGCTTCTGCCAACTTTTTGTTTTTAATAATGGGTGAATAGACTTGGAATTTTTACTCCTGCCTAAATAAATCATTGGGTTTATCTCCCAACTGTCACCCCTCCTCTCCCACCCTTTATCACCTGTGCAACAAGATGTTCTGAAGTGGACATGGTCTATATTTTGTTTTTAGAATTCAAAATTATTTAAGGACTATAGTAGTTCTGTCTTTAGTCAGCTTGAAGTCCAAAAGTAGCACTGGAGTTACTAGTTTTCCACTGAAAGCGGTAGTCAGCCAAGGGCGCTCTGGATCTCAAAGTGAATGCATTTCTTGAAATAGTAGGCCTAGATTTTTAGGGAGAGTATGGGTTTGAAAAATAGGGGCAGAAATCGTGAAGTGTGTGTGTAATTCCACATGCTAGTCTTTGCATGTGGCAATTTAAGTGCAACCATTAACAGTAAATTACTCAAAAGTACTAACTACTTCTACCGCTGCTACCACTTATCATTTCCTTTAAATAATGTCTCCAATATCTTTTTGCTAACAGTTCTGTTTGTCAGTATTTACATTAAATACTCATTTGGGGTGATCCTCTAAACACTGAAATTCAGTCAGTGTGTCAGCCTTCTGTTGATAGAATTTTACCAAATGATGAGTATGTCCATAAATCTTACATTAGTTTATAGTATGGAAAGAATTCATAACCTTCCCCAAAGAGATAATGTCTTACAGTTCAAAGGCTGGGGATGGGAGGGGGAGGTTGGGTTTTGTGGTTTTTTTTTTCCTCCACAGCAGTAGCTAAAGATGCTGTTATCTCTTTTTCTTACTGTGAAATAATCCAGTGATCCCGTAGTGGTCTGACCATGAACCAACGTTTTTGGAAAAAACCCAACTTGGACTAAAATGGAAAAAATAAGAAGGAATTTAGACAAGAAAGAGAAAGAAATGGTTATCTGTATGCTTGCCTTATGCTTGCTCCTGGAACTTTTGTACTCTAAAAAAGTAATTTGTTTTGTGTCACTAGTTTGTTCATTGGCAAGCATCAGATTGTCACTGGCACGGTTTGGATAAACTGTGGTAAAATATGGTATAGCCAAAGAACCAACTTTCGTTAGTTCCTGTGCGCTCTTTAGTACCAGTGAAAAACTCATAATTCTTGCTAGAGAATGAAGTGTGCATAATTGGAAAAACGCTTTCTCACTTTTTTTTTCTCTCAGACTGGAGTTTGCCTTTTCAGAACAAAACGGGAGAGGTTGCTGCTTGAAGGAATTTTGAACCTTTAAGAATGTGCTCATACTTCTTTGCAGCCCAGTAATTCTTGAAAAGAATGTATTCATTCCTTCTGAGAGATTTAATCGTTAATTATCTTATTTTGACTTTCTGACGTATTTGGATCGTTCCAGTCTTTGTATGTACACTTATGTGTAGATGCAAATCCACGTGCTCATGTAGCTGTAACCTCTGCATGAGGATGGCTGTTGCAACATGCACCTAAGTAAGCGTTCATGGTTAAAAAAAACAGAAAGAGCAAATGTGTTAGCACTTAAAAATACAGTGGTATCAACCCTGAACTGTGCCCAGTCAGGTGGAGAGGGTCACAGAATCACAGAATGGTAGGGGTTGGAAGGGACCTCTGTGGGTCGTCTGGTCCAACCCTCCTGCTGAAGCAGGGTCACCTACAGCAGGCTGCACAGGACCTTGTCCAGGCTATGCAGAGGCAAAGAGCTACAACAACAACATTATACTACACATTAAGATTACAGAATAATAAATTTACATAAAATGTCCATGCCACTAGCTTCAGAAATATTTTCTTAAATGTTCCAAGGAAAGATAAGGACCTATATTGTAGTCAGCTCCTTTCTCAAAGACAAATTCATCTCCTATCTCCCTTGCATAGGAACAAGTCCTAACTCTCAGATGTTCTATAAATGATTTAGAAGTATGTTGCCATCTGCTGGAGAAAGTACATCTTTTAATAAATCAACTGATAATCGTGAAAAAGTGGGCAAGGTTTAAAGCACTCAAAGGCCATTCTTTAAATCTGAAACAGAAACAGCAAACTTCAGACTAAGGATAGGTTGGGAGACAATGGTCTGAGCTTAATTTAATTATGTCAATCCATTAGACACTTTACGTGAAAAGAGGAGTGAACGCTTTACGGGAAGAGGTGAGGAAATTAGCAAGAGGAAGGTGATAAGGTTCCTATCCCCCATGTGAAACAGGGAAAGGCAGGCAGTTAACACCAGTGAGGGGCTGGGTTGAAGAGGGCTTGCTAGGAAAACCCTAAAATGCTGTAAGACCGCTGTCTCTGCCAAGTTATCAGTTTCAGATCTTAAGCTTATCGATTATAGATCTTCCTTGAGGATCGAACTGAGGGATTAGCCACAGGGGGCTGGTGATGGGAAAAAGGTTTTCTCACTGTAAAAGCATGTTTCTGTCCTTTCTCTCTGGTGCTTGTATGTTCATTCTAGGACTGACAAGTTACACCTGTAGAGTTTCCATGAAAAGCCTTGCTGAAGTCTAGATAGACAACATCCACGGCTCTCCCTTCATCTACCCAGCCAGTCATGTCATCATAGAAAGCTATTAGATTGGTCAGGCATGATTTCCCCTTGGTGAATCCATGCTGACTACTCCTGATAACCTTCTTTTCTTCCACTTGCTTGATGATGGCCTCCAGGATAAGCTGCTCCATCACCTTTCCCGGGATGGAGGTGAGGCTGACCGGTCCTCGGGGTCTGCCTTGGCATTATGCCTCCCTTTGTGCTGGGACTTTCTGGCACATTCCTCTCTGGTTAAATGAAACATCCTTCGAATCAGCTTGCGTGCTGCCAGTCGAACCCAACCTGCTGCAGCCAAGGCACAGCCTTCCCCCGCCGTTTGATGGTTCTGCTACAAATTCCCCTCGCATAGTGTCCTTATAGGGTCGTTTTTCAGGTAGAGCACATACGCTTGTAACAGATCTCAAGTAGACATCGTAGCCTGTTGTTTCTTTGAGCTGGCTGTGGTGAAACATTTCCAGTTGTTCTAAAGGTACTTTTTCTGTACAAAAATTTCTTCTTTGGACCCCTTGATACATACCCAGAAAAGGATGCCATAGGGAGGTTTGTTTACATTGTTTTGTTGATGATACAAAGTCAATTTATGATTTCGCAACAGAACATCAGGGATTACAAATCCAAAGTTACCATTTAGTGAGGAAACAATGTATTTTCATGCCATTAGAAAAGCAAGAAAACCATTTAAAATATTTCTGAACAAAAATTTGTAGATTTTGCATAATATAGATAACTTACTTGGTCTATACAAAATACTCTGACGTTTCTGCTGCTCATAGTTGCAACTACTCTTGAAAAATCCATCTAAAAGCAGTATATTATCCTTAAGCCATGTGTTGTCTTGAACATACATATACCGTTACAATGTATACACTTAAGACTAGGACACTGTGAAGCAATAGAAGGCCTAAGAAAGTGTGACTTTTTTTTCCCTTCAGTTTATTGATGGTCGGCTATCAAAATTAAATGCAGGAAGAGGATTCTCTGATGTTTTTGAAGAAGAAATCACAGCAGGAGGCTTTTGTGGAGGTACAGAATTAATTTAAGTGTACTCTTTGACACTTTTTCTTTCGGAGGTGTTCAACATGAAGTCGTCCTCATGATGTCCTGTAAATTTTAGAAGTTATTAATCTTGTTAGTGCTCCATTGTTTCCATTGATTCCTGTAAAGTTGTTAGCCTAACACTGCTGGGATACATAGTATTATGTGTCTAGTTATATCAGTATACTAAATGAAGATATGTTTGTTTAATCCAGTAAAATACTACTTAGATTTCAGTATATGATGAAATATCACTATATTATTTACATTTATAACTGCGTGGTTATATAATATGGTAGCTTATGTGTAGATCGTATTCTAAATATAATTTTGAAATTTGTGCTGCTGAACTTTTTCTAGATAGTTATGTTTTCCATAAACACTTGTAACTTTTTTCATGTCTATTTATTTCTGCAGTGCAGAGATCAGAGTGATTTCCTAAATTTTTAGAGAAATTTGCTTTCTCTAGCAGATGTGTTACTCTATAAAAGAGGGAAAAATTTTTAACCTTTATATATCACCTGAGAAGGGACAGTGGAAATTTACCTTCTTTGTAAATAAAAATATTATTCCTTAGGTTGTTTCCCTCAGTTATGTTCACTGACAATTGTTGTAACGCTTTTCACATTAGCTAGCTTACAAAGTTAACCCTTATAGAAGAGCACGTGCTGAATCCATTCCTGATTATTAAAGGATTATGGAATGGTTTCCTGTTAAACATTTGGTACGTCTCTATTGTTAGCTGAGGTATCATAGGTGCGATCGAAATACTGGATCAAAATATGCATGACACAGCACAAATACTATCTTATGGTCTATGTTGAAAGTAGTGTAGAAGCTTTCACAGCAAATGAAGGTTATGTGATTTGAGCAAATACAGCGAGCTGCGTATGGAAGCTTTAGGTGATCTTCCTTTGCAAGACTACCTTTAAATGGGCGTATGTAAAGGAGAGAGTTTGACCCCCACGGAGAAATCATCCAGTGGTGCAGAGCCGTCTTCGCCTTCTGCAAAATACCTTTTTTATACTCAGAGTACATAAATCCTTGTGTTCAAGTTTTTCACTGCCTTCTCCTGCCCTCTGTTTCTTTTGCTATGATCTAGTGCATAATTTGTGGGGTTTTGTCTTGATTAGAGTGTGGTTAGTTATACAGAGATTTACTTCTTTTCTGCCTTTTTAGGTAACTTATGCTGCTCTGTAAACAGATTTTAGGCATTGAGCATCCATTATTCAAATAGGTGATGTCAGTATTCAGAGTTCGTTTGCTGACTGCAGTTAGGGGGTCAGGAGGCTGTAATAAAACTGCAATAGAAGTTAGATAAAGCTTGTTTCTTTGCTACGCACTGGCAGCCTGTGAACCATGTCTCACCTGGCTCTACTCAGGAGGGAATGCTCAGCTTCGCTTGCAGTTCTTGGTTAGATGGCACTGCGTGCGTACTTTTCAAGTCAGACAAGCTGTATATTGCCAGGCTGTGGACAAATTGCTTAGGGCACATATTCAGTATTTACATAACTGCTGTCTCATTATCGTTATGAAGTGCAGGGCTAACAATATGTATGCAATTGAAGGTGACATTTTGTGACGCTAATGGGGTAGAACTATAATCTCTTTGCAGAGTTAACTCCCGTCAACTTTATCAGGAAGCCCAAGGTTTTTAAAAAAAAAAAAACAACCAGGTGAAACCCAGCCTTCAGAAAAGTCACAGCACGTTTGTGTAAGCTACAGCTGTTAAAAGGACAGGTGAACATAGTCTTAGCTATAGAGAGTATAATTTAAAAATTACTGAATCAAATGGAAAGTGTTTCTTTACGTAATCTCTTTTTTAATTTGCCTTCTTCCACATTTGTTAGCATAGCTAAACCAGCACAGAAAATTACATTGGAAACTGGATAATAAAATCTAGATTTCATTATTTATTATGATCCCCTCCCCCCAAGTAAAGTGATAGAAACTTATTTCCCTGTGACTATATGTGAAAAGAAATTTGTCAACCATCTTCATTATGTTTTGCACTTTATACTTAAAATTTTAATTTCTGTTACACGTGTTATTCTGGGGAAGTATTAATTCTCAAGAGTTTTATATAACTTTCAATACAAGAATATAGTGATTGATTGGCGTAGCACTTGGATTTCTTGTAGAATATATTCGTTAAAGTTATTTGTAATCACATATATTTTACTACAGCGGTCATCTTTTTGAGTTAGTCTAATATCAGTGGTGGTAGTACAAGAAAAACTGAAATAGTGAAAATCTTTGAACATCTCCTTTAATAATAATGTATTTTAAGAAGTCAACATTTTCATGCTAGAGTTTCAGGAGGTTCCACTCCAGCTGAGGGTATCCAGTGTTAAAGTGGCCTTTTCTGTAGATGAGTGTTTATCTGTTTTCTTTATTGCCTTCCCTGAAGTCCCTCTACACAACTAGAAGGCAGTTAAACTTCTTGGTAATTTTCTGTGATCTCGTTTACTGTCCCTAGTCATTGCTTAAGTCATAGGCTGTGACAGAGAAAGCTCAGATGTAGAATAAGTCATTGTTAAGGACACCACAGTCCAGATGATATATTAATATTGTTGATAAGAATTTAAAGTTATGAAATGTCATGTTAGAGAAAGTACTTATGGTTCATTGAGATTTTATTAATACACTAGCAGTGGTTAAATTTCACCTTATTACATGTTATTTGCATGTTACCTTGTCTGGTAGTTCCTGGGAGCCAGATTGAAGAAGTAAAAAATGAGTCGTATTTACTTTATGTTTTGTCCTTTGATGCTCTTACTGGAGATGGGATCTTTATGATGATCAGGTTCTCTCCTTTCTAAGCGAGCATTGCTTTCACTTGTGCCATCATTCCTGAGAGTCTGGCTGTCTCACAATTGCTTGTAAAGAAGTGGAATGGGTGAAAGTGCCTGATATGAGTATGAACAGCTCAGTTTTTTCACCTCATTGAGAAACTTGGGAATACCTTTTGCAGTGATCCAGTTCGTTCTCAGCCAGGCTCTAGGAGAATGTTTTTGGCTTTCCACTAGCCAATGCAATAATTCAACTCAGGCCTTAGTTAATTGATTATTGGAAAGCTTAAGGAGTTTCAAGAACTGTTAAAAGTCTGTAACATCAAGGATATACCAGTATGATCCTTTCAAAACGGATAAACCCTTTTGAAACTTCAGTATTGTTGTCAACGTCAGTGTCTTGTCTGGGGTCAGTAACAGCTCACAGTACCGGCGTATTCAAGTGACTGAGGTACTCTAAAACTTTCTCAGGGATCAGGGACCCAGTCTTTGGTGTTCAGCTGAAGCACCTTTGGAAAATAGAATTCATTTCTTCATCAAGTGCTCGGTAGAATTTAACCCTGTCCTTCATGGCCAGCTTAGTGGCATGGTAGTCCTCAGCAGTCCTACAGAAGCCAACAGTCTGCACTTGCCTTTTGGAGGTTTTTCTTTGTGAAAGGAGGTAGAGAAGTTAATAATATGAAAAGATTTTTCCTGCACAGGAGTATATAGTTGTGCCATAATCCGTAGACTTTTCTCTCGTTATTTTTCCTTGGGATGGTACCATCTGCAGTCCATGTCATTTTTGTGCTTGAAAGTTTGCCCAGTGGGATCATTATGCTTGAATGTGGTTCATTATATATTATTCTTTCCTTTGAGTTAGTGTTTTTCTTTTTAGATTTTTTTTTAGCAGTATGTTACCTTATCGTAGTTTAAATTTCTTTTTCTGCCTCAATTGGAATTAAAAGCTCTGTGTGGTGAAAAGACATGCTTTTACAAAGAAAATAGAAAACATGAAATGAGAGATACCTAGGTTTTTTTCCTAGTGTATACATATTCTTATCTCTACATTCCTTGTCTATCTGGGAAGAGTGAAGTTAATGAATAATCCTCTAAGGGAAGGGTTTTTTTTAATGCAGATTGTGAGCAGGGTTGAAACGTTTAAAATGTATGTTTGACTGTGTTTCATTTTATATTTTTATTTCAGGAAATTCAAGGTCCTATCAGCAGTGGATGCATACAGTGAAGGTATAAACTTAGTTAAGTAATTATACTGGCCATCCTATTCTTTAAATCTTTGTCATTTTCCTTACATATATGTAATGGTAAAAGTGTGTTCATTTGCAAGGAAAATAGAAGTAGATTCTATAATAAATAACATATCTGTGGCATTTGCAATAATTTTATGAGTTTTTTTCTTGAAGTTTTTTTTAAAAAAGAAGTTCCATACACAATACAAATGCCAAAACGCACAATGTTTTTCTGTCTGTATAGTCAGGGATTTCCCTGCTTTCTGGATCATGTTACATTCCATAACTGTGAATTAGGTGTGACAGTACAATTTGATACGAAGTTTAGCACTTCTACTAGATAGCAATTTCGTTAATATGGATTTGTGCAGTTTGGCTAGCAGAAGACCTTGTTATTCTGCAGGATTAGTAAAATATATTATTTTAGATTAAGAGAATTCTTGTGTGATTAGATGAGATAGTTCTGTCTGTCAGGTCAAAGTATTTTTAAGTTGCATAATAAATATGATAGGAACACATGAAAAATAACCGTAACTTCTGGATTGATTTTGAAATGGTAACACAGAATGAAGAATGAAAATACATCATTCTGTTAGAATGCATTGATAAATGTGTCAACTATGATAATGATGTACTGTAACCCTTGTGTAGCTGCAGACAGCAGGTTGGGGAGGAAACACAGCTGTGGTTATTCTTACCGATTTAAAAAGAAAATTGTTGTATTTTTATAGCACACTGTTTATTTTTTCCTTGCTGTTGTCATAAGGTTTGACTTACATTAAGCTGTTATTAAAATACAGGTTTTGTATATTTCAGAAAGGCGGTGCACTGATCAACACAGCAATGACCAAAGCCACTCCGGCTGTGAAAACAGCATATAAATTTGTAAGATCATCTGTTTCAAAGAAACAATACATAAAAATACCTCAACATCCTACAATCTCTCATTCTTCCTCAGAGTCTTCCAGATAGCTTGTACATAACAATAGACACTTTCAAAGCCTCAGTGTGCTGGTTTTGTTTCAGTCATAATACATACTAGAAGCTTATTTGAATATCATTTAGTTATTTCATACACAGCTGTAAACTGTTCCTAACCTGATGACAACATGATTAAAATATGGACTCTGAAAATAGAAAATTTCATTTACACTAAGGTCCTGTAGCACAACACAGGCATCGCAAAGTTAACATGAGTGTAAAACATTTTATAAATGTTACATTTATATGTAATATAAATACAGTGTTATAGTATATAGTTACATAGTATGTAGTGTTAACATGATGCAGAGATCTCTATTCAGAAGAGATACAGTTTGTGCTGGGCAAATGGAGTCCTGGCTTACACAGATGCAATTTCACTTTGCCAGTAAGTGCTGCACTATGGAAAAGATGTGGTAAATCATCAGTAATGTGTGCAGCAAGTCTTTTCTATCATCTGCTCTTTTAAAGATGATACTGGAATACTCATGTTTAACTGGATTTAATGCTTATACTTTAGAGCTTAAAAGATCTTGTTTGCAAAGACTGCCAAGGCAATAAAGCATGTGAAATTACACAGTATCAGGCAGTGTGGAAAAACAGCAATAGTGTAAAATGAAGTGGAATGTATTTTGAGGTTGCATTTTAAATATATGGGGAAGGACTTTTGGCTTCCTTTTTGCTTTTCGAAATGTTTCGCTAGTAGGATGCATAATAACTAGTCCTGAATAAATCAGTACATCAGTCTAAGCTACTTTAAGTAAAGTTTTCAAACAGAATTTTTAATTTTATGTCAGTGGAAAAACACAGCAGTCATGGAGACACACAGGTAAATAAATTAAATATACTTCATATTCATGGACTCATTTATAATTTAATAAATGGTTCATTAACAGGTTATCTGCAAATTATTTTTCTTCCGTTTGCACTTGCTTAGACTGTGGTTACATGATCTTCTCCCAGCCTTCAATTTTGATAATTATGTCCTTGATAATAAAGGTTCTTCAAAGTGAACTTCTGTGTACGCTATGAAACACTGGTAAATTTTGTGAGGATCTGTGTGTATAAGGTATTCATATTTGTATCCCATTTAATTTCTTATCCTGTTGCCCTTCATGGAGCCTACTACTACAGAAATGAAATATGCATTTCTTAATTGCTGGATAACTGATTGGTAGCCTTGAGTAATGTGCTCGGTACCATCCTTCAGAGTTAGAACAAAGCACTCCGAAATTCATCCAAATGCTGTGAGCGTGATCTGGAAAGTTTAAAGTGGCTCTCAGGTTAGCATCTGCTACATGGCACCCTGTTGGGCTGTTACTGAGCTTATAGATGTGTGATTTAAGGATCAAAAAGACTCTCTGACCTCTTGATTCAAGAAAATTATTTTCTTTTTCTGAATTTCCATGTACAGAAAACCATAGAAAAATAGGTAGTTTCCACATACTTATGCCCTTAAATATATTTTTTAAAGACCCATTTTCAAGACAACCTTGACAGCTTTCATAGTTTTTTCCTGTATTCATATAAGAAAGATACCTTTGCTTCTATTAGGGTTAGGGTTTTTGGTGTCATCCCCCCCAACCCCCCCATCTTTCCTTTTTTCCTCCTCCTGCCTCTGTCTGTGTCTCTTTTTTTTTTAATGTCTTTTAGCAGAAGTACATGGTATCCTGTATTGATAATTCATTTCCCTATTGAAGAATACTCTCGGCTGTTCTTTATGCAACAGTGATCCTTGGCTGCCTATTTTAATACATAACAGAATTCTCCCCTAAATAGCAGCACTATGCTGTTCAGCAACACTGGGCAAAATCTCCATCTGCATATGAAATCACTTCATTTCTCTTAAGATTGATATTGCCCTGCAAGTTGCCAGACTGGAACACTGTAGCAGTCATCTTGAAAATCTTAACATTTTTCCAACATGCCTTACTGCTAAAATACCCTTTCAAATTTAAAGGACTATTTCAAATAAAGGAGTGATCTATATGACCATTTTTTGTCTGTCCTTAGTACTATTGGAGAATTTTTGAGCATGTATGTTTTCACAGCATTGGCATGCGTGTACTGAAAAAAATCCTTAAATATACAGAAAAAGCATGAATATATAAAATATACTGACAATGCACGTATGAAATTTGTGATACGAGTTATTGCGCTTCTTTATATCACCAGGTGTTTAAAAAAAAAAGGTAAAATAAGTATGGCATCATAAAGCATGTTCCATGACTACAGCCAGTGTCTTTCAGAGCTGTTGAAGTCCTGTTATTTTTCTAGGCAAAAAATCAGGCAAGGCAAGGAATAAAAGAAGTGAAGAGTAAGTTAAAACACAAGGTACGTAGTGCACTCTTTACTTTCTTACCTTGCTTCCTGTATCAGTTTGAAGCTTATACTTTACAAATCACAGGAGATTTGTGTTTTTAATGACTTTTGAAATATGCTTAGCCCTTTGTTCAACAATACATTTTTCATAACGAGCCCTCTGGCAACTATCTGTCATTGTATGCATCCACTGAATAATCTCTTTATTGTTTGCATATTTTATCATAGAACAACAGAAGTCTTCAAAGATACATTAACAGGATGTATGTTTTCATAAAGTTGATTGCTTTGATATCACAATCGAAGCCTTTGCTTCAAGCTGAGAATTGGAGATGGGAGAATCTTGCAGTACGATGTATTTCAGAAGGTGTAGTTGTCCGTTTTGGTTTCATAAGATATGTGAACAATGGCAGTGTTTAAAAACGAAGGAATAGTTTCATTTTGCAAAAACAGCATCACAGAAATATAAAAATAAAAGCTGCTTTTTGACTGAAAATTTTGTTTCTACGTAATGTTTTTCTGCAGGGAGAAGGAACCAGTTTTTAGATATATTGTATGCTATTTTAAGAAAACTTTCAAAAATATTTCCTAGTCATTTGAACAATTCATCTTTTAAATGACAATGTTGATAATTCAGCTTCTTGAAAAGCTAAATTTGATTTTCTTACTACAGATGATATTTTCATGACAGTAATAGATTGTGGCAAGATAATTTTGAATGCATTCTGCATGCATAATATGGATGGTACGTTTGCAGATAATGATTATAAATAAAGGAGTTTAAATCTGTTTTATTGCGTAGGAGAGTGAAAAAGAGTGTGGAACTTGCAGTGCTGGTGCAGTACAGACTGCTCCAGTCTACACACTGCATTATGAGAAAAGAGCAAACTCAGAAAAACGAAGGCTGGCACAGGTAAGACACCTGAAACTTCTGTTCTTATTCACATACATATGAGGAAAATTTTTTGCTGCTTACAGTAATGCATCAGTGAATCTATTTAATATTATTTTACTGTTGGTGTTTGGATAGTGTGATTAGAAGGCTATGTTTATAGAAATACTGCTGTACCGCTTGAATGGAGGAAAAATGCTATTCGTATTTCTTCCCTCTTGAGAGGAGAAAAAACAGGAGATTTATAAGTATGCATCTGAGATTTAATGCTTAACATACCGTTTTTGATAAAGGCTTCTCTCAGTAAATACATTCTGGTCTATTCACACATCTGTGTTAATCTGTCTTTTTTAGTTTCTTATAGTGGGACACATTACTTTTGTATTTCTAAAAAATGCATTTTGCAGTCACATGCCCTTTAACCTTGGTCAGATATTTATGATCTATTATTTTATTAAGAAGTCAGCTAGTTAATACTGTGCCAATCTCCTGTCCTTTTCTTCTCTAATCCTTTCTAGCCTTGATATGAAGTAACAGGTGTAGTGTTTCAACTTTGGCAAGTGTTTTAATGTCTTTGGATTCATTTTGACAGGTTTTTTTCAAAGATATCAATAAAATAGTTTTTGTAACACTTTTTTTTCGGGGAATAAATACCTGCATATGTATATATTTTAATGTGTGGGTATATATATTTATGTGTGGGTATATGTATTTGTATTGTTATTGCATGTTTTTAATATGTGTAATTAATGTTTATAAATGGATTTTTAATGCATATATCTTCCTCATGTGAGAATGATGTATAGAAATTCAGTCCAGCTGATGCAACAACATTTGATTTTTTACTTTAGATATTGCAATGGTAAAAATCTGAATTGTCTATTTAATCAATTTGATTCTGAATTAGTTTTATGTGTAATAAAGTTTGTGAAATTTGACATAGAACTAATGCAGATTATTGCCAGATGATGTTGAAATTGTCCATTAATATTGTCATTATTTGTAGTAGGGTTATAAATAATACAAAGACTTTCTGCTTTAATTATTTAGGCAGGTTTTACTTTGTACGTGTTTTCGTGATCTCTTAAAGCCAGTGATAAAGTTTTAAACTCTGTGCCCTCAGTGTATTTTTATATACAGGCAGCTGTGGTGCCTGCATTCTCTCAGGAACTTGTGTACAGTAGATTTTCTTCACTAAGTATCAGAAGAGAAGATGTACAGTTCTAAATGTATGAGTATAGAGCTTTAAAGCTGTTAACGTGAATGGTTCTTAGAATACTTGTTTCTAATAGATAACTGTCATTTTAATATATAGCAACTTCCCCCCACAATAATTAGATAATGTGAGGTAGTAAAAAGCTTTTAGTGCATTATAAGACAACATTCACAGATCAGTGTAAGTGAATCTACATTTGTGTGTATCTGTGTGAATACGTAACGCAAATGTACCCTTGTAGTCAGTGAATTTTTATAGGCTGCTTTTATTAAAGAAATCTGCAGTAATTTGCTAATATGGTAGTGCTGCCTACTGTTAGGTACAGGAGTCTAGGGATACAAAGGAATATAATTTACCTTGATACAATTAAACATTTCTTTTGAAGGCCTGTATTTGGACAGAACAATTTAACTGCTGTGTGTTTTTGTGTTCGTACAGCTGTATACTGCTAAATCCTTTGTTGCCGTTTCTACCAGTCATCTTTTAGTTCTGAAAACAAGACAGGAGGGGTGCATATCCATCCATAGTTTTGTTTGCAGATATACGTATACATATGTGTTTGGGTATGTGTATACACACACATATGCATGCATGTATATAGGGTTTGTTTACTAGCGAAGCTCGTAATTTATAGCCCTGCCGTTTGCCCTGCTGCGAACCGAGGGTCCCGTGTCTTCTCCCCAGCTCTTGTCCCACATGTCGCCTGAGCCCAGTGGGCAGGAAGGTGCAAATGGTGATCACTCCCCAAGAATGCCACTCCACACAGTTTCCTTCACCTCTTATGCATGCTATTTCCACTTCTTCCTCCTCCCCAAAAGCAAACCAAAGTATTTCTAAGAAATAATAGTCTGCCATTGCAACTCTTGCTTTTATTTTTGTTCTTGGTAAGTATTTGAATAAGACAACATAAATGCAAGTTTTTTGTGAATGCATGGTGATAAACTTTATGTCCAAAGAAAAATACGTATTTGTATTCACAAGGGTATGTGTATATGTTTGATCTAGTACTGAATCTGCCGTTTAAAGGAAGTGAATTTCAGATTGCTGCTGTTCTCAGGTTTAATCCTTTTTTCTGTAACTCTTTATCCTGCAAATGAACCTCTCCGCCCAGATTTCTGAAATGGCGCGCAGGAGTGTCTGTGGCAGTATAACAATAGTGCTAGTGTGCAGTTCATGCACTTTGATGTAGATGTACAGTAAGGACCAGAGAGTGATTAAGTTACAATGTCAGTGTGTTTGAATATCCCCCCAAACGTAAACAAACAACAAATGAAAGAGAGATTGCTTTTAACGGTCATCTTGCTTCCAAATAAGAGGCACATCTGCCCTTTATTGCTGTCTCTTCCATACTGAAACACGCAGAAACTTGTAAATATAAAGAAATTGGTGTTATGTTTTATGTCATGTTAGCTGCATACATTGAGCTTTTCATTCTCCACTTCTTGGAAACAGTTGAGCCTAAATACTAACTAATAATTACATGAGCTGCTGTAAAACGTATTTACTTCGGAACATTATGTATGATATAAAAGTTTGCTTCACTGTAAAAGAACATTTTAATAGTTGGTTCATAACAAGATTTTGGGGTCTGAGTGGATGTTTCCTTTACAATAGGAAGTGAATCTGCTTTTACCCCAACAAATAGTGGTTTGTATGTGGGTCTGCTAATTAGTACGGTTATTTCCTGTTTTGTTGATGAGGCTTTAATAAATGTCAAGGGTACAGCCATGAAGATCTCCCAATTAGGCTTTGCGTTTGTAAAACCCAACCCCTTTGCTTTTGTGTGAAGATGACAGTTCCAACTGCAGCCTCAGCCTAACAGGGCTCAAGGGAAAGGATACTTCACTGGTTTTATTGAAAACAAGGCCACTTTGGCCCAGGGAGAATACCAGCACTGGTCACAGTGCAGAGACGCTTTTAACAATGAATATTTACTACACTTTATCACTGCTGTCATAGTGGCGTTTTTTGGTTTTTTTCCAGATCGGCAATAGACTTTAAAAAATTAACAGTAAATCAAAACAAATTATAGCATGTAAAATAGCTGTCAAAACCTAATCAGGGGATAAATAATTAAATGTCTTATTGCAAACTGTAGTGATCAGCTTGCCCTCCTATAATTTGCATTTTGAAAGTCTTTCCTAAAAAAAGAAATAACGGGAGTGCACTCATATGTGTCTGCAGGCACACGCATGCGCACACACATAATTAATCTTTGCCTAAGATGAATCATTATATCTCTGTAATATTCATTTGAGCTAACTTGCTTAGGTTAGCTGTTCTAGGCTTTTTGTACGTGTGCAGGCTTAACTATATTGCAAGTCAACATTAACAGATGGATTGCCCTAAGCAAGGGAAAACCACCACAACAAAATCTAGTGAAAGTGGAGGATTGAAGCTTTTTATTGTTAAGCCTTATTAAAACCTTGGCATGTGCACTGCTGTTAACTGTTTAATGTCTAGATCTAATAATATGTCTCTGGTATGTTTTATCTCCTACATTAATTAGGTATGTTGAAGATACAAGAAATTACCAGCTAAAATTTTTGAAATAAAAATTAATGCAAGCAGGCGATTGCTTCAGCTCTGTTTGTGGTACCTTGCCAACGATATTGCTGAGTTCCTTTAACTATTGATGAGGAGAGTACAGTAATGCATATATGAGACTACTGTGCATTTGATTTTTGCATAATCTGTTTTAATTCTGTTTCATTGTATGCTCCCAGGTAATGCAGATTTCTGGGTAGACAGGAGCCTAAATGCAGTGAGAGCTCTCTAAAATTGTTCCAAATTAATATATAATTAAAAAGAGAAAGTGTTTATTATGAGCCTGGATAGAATGGCAGGAAGATGTTTGATTTCATGAATACAATGTTTGTAATTTCACTATCAGATGATAGGGTAGCTTATTAAAAATGGAGCATTTCAGAATGTCAATAGTGCTAATGTATTTAGTGGCTAATAAAACATTCTTGAAGATTTGCAGAATACCAAATAAGAACCACCAGTTCACCTTATAATTAGTAAGTTAGCAATGCCCCCTTGTTTCTAAGGAAATGTATGTAATACCTGTACCTTTAGGCGTGCACTACCTTGCAGCCGTAATGGAAACGGGCATTTGGATTCTAAGGGTGGATTTACCAGGAATCCCTGTGTGTCAGCACTGCCTTAAATATTCGTATATCGAAGAAACCAGGTGAGCTGCTTCCCATGACTTTGTAGGATCTAAATATGGTGTCCAAGGAGGTTTTAAAAACACTTTTGCATAAGGTAATAAAAGCCAAGTTAGACTAAACTTTTTTCTTTGTGTTCTCCAACAGAATAGAATTACCATTTTTTAATTCTTTTTAAAAAGTGTATCACAACTGTAGCTTTTCCACTTTTATTGCAGTACATCCTAGTAACTAGACAATATGTAATTCATCTTGCGGTAGGTATACTTGGCTTCTGTTCAACAAAGATAGCAAGTGTCAGGCAGGAAGATGTGTTCAGAATAACCTTACCTTCAGGAGTGCCCCATTTATCAATACCCCCACAATGGCCAGTAAAATAAATGACATAATCATTAGCTACAAAGGGCTTCCAGTAACTGATTACTGTCCTAACCTGAAAAAGGTGGTGGGAGTGGGCTATTCTGAAGACTTTTTTTCTGGCACCCTAAAAGAAGAGAGGAAAGGCAGTGATAATACACTGCTGAATATACATATTCTGTATAAGGTGACTGAACCCCTTTAAGAAAAAAAGAAAACAATTCTTCAGACAAGCCGACAATAATTTCAGAAGCAGAAGAGCTCTGTTTAAGGGC